ATGCCAATCTGTCAAAACCGTTCTTGGTATGAAAAATGCTGTTGAAATCCCAAGGGGTAGTATAACGGTAAATCCAATATGGCGGACACCTCGCCTCGAAAACGTAAACAAATCCCACCTGTACCAGACAAAACTCGCTAGAAGGATATTGCATTAACGGTTGTTTACCTATCGTGTAAAGGTATCTGTTCTCTTTGTTTTCTGTATATATTTTAAACATTAAATGATGTATATTTGTATAAATTTCGGTACTATTTACTTGTTTCTAAATGATTAAACTTTTAAATTAAGTTACTGTCACTCAGTCTTGACTTAGTTTACATACGCTGATACAGTTAGAAATTGAATAGACCTAAATTTAAATTTATTTCGAGTTTCAGTGTTGTCTGACATACAAAAACTATACAATGGTTGGTCTGTACATAGTTTACATTAAACATATCTAATTGATATGACATGCTTTTGTTTTTCAATATCATTTTTTTTTTTTTATATAAATAAAACTTGTCAGATCATACACCATGTACAAATACAATTTTTTGTTTTTAAATATTATTTTAATGATTTATCTGACTAAAACATATCAGATCATGTGTAATTACAATGAGTATGCTTGAAGACAAGTACCCTTCAGACTCCTGGGTAAGCAAATGCCACAATAAAAGGAGGGGCTGGTATATACATTAAGTACCCCAACTGAGATCAACAATCAGAAGCAATACCAACAGGCCTACATTGTTCAAACTACTAAGTTGAAGAAGACCTTATTCATGCTGCACACTCCATCAAAAACAAAATTGATAACACAACTCAAGTAGTATTCCTGACTGATGCCCTCTCTGTGCTACAAGCTTTGACAAACGACAAGCTTAACCTCAACTTGAACAAGCTTTATACACCATCAAAAGTCTGACAACAGTTCTACAGTGGATTCCTTCTCACTGTGGAGTTTGGGGTAATGAACAAGCCGATAAATTAGCAAAGAATGGTGCTGAACAATAACAGGAAGAAAATCCAGTCTGCTACACAGAGATGAAGACTATCATCAAATCTCTGTTCAACACCCATCAGCAACAAGACAGTTACCACCAACAAGATCTGACCAAACTACCATCTTCCGACAGGACACAACAGACTCAATCAACATCTATACAAAGTCATGAAAGTTGTTTCATCTCCAATGTGTCCTTGTGGAGAAGCAGAGCAGGATACTGCACACCTCTTACAGTCATGGAAGATCCATCAGGCACTGATCATGAGAGATAAGATATGGCATTCACCAACAGTTAGTGAGTGAGTGAGTGAGTGTTAACGTTACCACTCAAAGAAAAGCTATGTGGACCAGTGGATGCCCTTAGCACAGAAGACCACCAGATTTGTTGAGGAGACTGGTATTCAAGTGTAAAGGCGAACGATAAGAAAGAAGATGTGTAATTACCACTGAGACTGGTGCATCAATATATATAATTAAATGAGATTATTAATGTCATTCATTGTGTTTTGTAAGGGGAGGTAACTCTTTGTGAAGTAACATTTTAGCATCATCTCCGGAGTGAGGGGTGATATTTAGCATGGAAATCTTTCATTTTACAATAGAATAGATTGGTTCTGAAATTGTGGTAAAAAAAGAGAAAACAAATTCTCCCATATATACCATGTTATTGACCTTGTACGCTTTTTTGATTGTTTTCAGGAAAATGCTAAAAAACAATTGTGAAATTTCACGATTTCAAAAAATTCGTAAAAATCCAATTTTGAAGATAACATGGTTCTGATTGCTGTTTTGTAATCAGGTTATGGTAGTCTCTAGGAAAATGACAAGAAATAAATCACTTTTGGTTTTAAAAAAATTAGTTGGGCATAGCTACAGTACTTGTAAGCTAATCATAGACATTGGTATTGTTCGAAACGAATGTTTGTGCGGATACGGATTGTTATTGTCCTCACAATCGAGCATAAGTAAGAAATGAAAAAAAGTACAAAAAAGTAAACACAAAAACAAACAAGAAACATTACAGGTGTAATAAACACAAATTTTACCAAACGACAGCATATATGGTCCATGTGGAGAACATCGTGAGCCTGGTTTGATAACTTCATGACAGCTATATATAGATGTTCATGCTTTCAAAACGTTTGAGCGACTAGGAGTAATACCGGAAACTCTGATCCTTACCATTAGAATGGTATAAAGCGTTATAAACAGACCTGGACAGAATGGCTCTGTATAAGAAAAGTTATGTATTTATGGTTCAGAAGCACTAGTCAGATAGGATAAATGCTAGCAATAACACGAAATTCTTTACGTGTATCCACTCGATAAAGTATAACACGGGGTTACACACTGTACGATTTGGCTAGAATGAATTTTACATTTTAATTTTGTTAAAGTGGATATGATGGATATATCAAGCCGAGGTACGTACGTGGAATAAACATGAATAAGATACGTTATCACTGGATACTAAATTGAACTTCTAAATGAGTTGTAATCATACAGTGCACAGAGTTTGGATGTTTAGTTGTTTGTCATTTTTTCTTCGCGGATGTCAGGGATCTGCGAATGGGGAGAAATGCCAACGGGGGAGGTGGGTGACATTAAGTCAGAACTAGCATACACGTAAATTAAATCATAATAATAAAATAATTACATAACACACAGTTTGCTTTGTTGAACAATATATACAAATTTGCAAGCAGTTGACTTTACACTTTAAACTTTACAGCCATGGCGGCTACATGTACTATGAATAGATCATATATGCATGTTGGGCATTTTATATTGACTTGGTTCGATTTCACGAGCACAGGTGAGCTAGGTGGGTAACACACATGGAGATTTGGGAGAAGATAATTATGGCACTTGTCATGTTAAAGCAATGCATATGATAACGACTCCTTCTGTATAAATATATATTGTAACAACCCCTATTTCCCAAATTATTGTATGTGTACCATAACAATTTTACCTTCTGCACGCATGAGTGTTTAATACCATATTACACATTACATATGCTCATTATTAACAATGATCTAGTCCAATATATACATACTCATGCACAAATTTATGCTAGTCTCAAAAGCGTACAATTCATATGTAATAGATCTATACGTTACCCGATGTAAAATATTATACAGATCAACGTTTGTAATCTTTATAGCACATTTATGTATGCAGTCGTGAAGCTGCACATATGTATTAGAATATTGATAGGGTGTAGTAACCATATTTATCTTTAAATATTGTAATACAACATTGATACAAATTTGATCGGAATGCTAGCACTCCGGTCTACTATATGGTATTTTAACAACCAGTATACCCGTGTACGAGCTTGCAGAAGACGAGGGGGAAAACACATAATAGTATGTGTAATAAACTGGATGACCAGTGCAATGAGTAAATACGGACTGATTTATGTATGATACATAGTTGTTTACTTATTGATACATGTACGTAAATATATGTACACTTTAGATAAGGAATACACAATTTTAAAAGAAAAGAAAGAACAAATCTTCCAATAGCAGAGGTCAGGGTTGATACACTACTCTGCAGTACTAAACAGTCAGCGCTGTTTGGTCAGGGCCTCATTGATATAGAATCGGCTGCTGGCAGAGGGGGCTACATGATCAGGTTCGGATGAGGTGGAAGCCCAACGCGATGGAAACAGACTAAATCTGGCATCATATACGAGGGCCCTTGTGCGATAAGAAGTGAACATTTAAATTTATAATAATATTGATATATTCTGATAAGTGAGAAGTCCAAAATCTTCAAAAAAAAATACATACCTTATTATTCCCATGGTCTGTGTAGAATAGTCAACGCACCGTGCAACAGTAACAAATATCTAAGGTTAACCCGGATGTGTGTGCACAGAAAACTATCTATATTAAAAAAAAATAATCTATTTTTAGGGGAGGGTATTTCCACGCTCATACAAATCGAGTCACATAATTTTATGGCTGAAACAACCTCTTACTATTGTTAATAAAAATGCAATAATGCATACTGATTCTTCAAGAAAACTAAATAAAAAGAAACAGAGAAAAGAAATAAGTGTAAATCCTCTTTTGATAAGAAACAATACAAAATAGATTCTCTATAGGTGGACAAAAATCATTCCGAAATGTTCCATCCTATCAATTTCTATCGTAGTTCATGATATTTTGAATATTTTGTTCTTGTTCAGCGTTACGTTTTGCACGATATTTGCATATGCTTTTCGAGAAATCTGGATTTTGATGTATATAGTACATGTTAACCACCAGCGTAACATAACTAGACGAAATTCAATTTAGCCTTAAGTATTTTTTATAATAGTATTATGATTGTAAAATAATAACAACACCATTTCATGATATTTGACGTCGAGTGAAATATCATTTATATAACTGATATGGAGTATCCGTAGGGTGTTACTTATAAACGGGTAAATATTGATGATTGTCTGATCAGATATTGAGTGGTCAGTTTAAAGTTTCAGACGTCAAAGCAAAAATCATTATGTGAAATAAATATGTGGCATAATTAAATGCCCTCGTTAATTACTGATAAACTTGTCCTCTCTGTAGTTGTGGTTATGTTATACTAGCGGCCACCACTTAATACGGGATAAGTTTCACCATAAAAGCAGCTGTCATTGGCTTGTGTCTGTCTATTGATGCGACAGCAGTTTTCCCCATGTGAAAGGAATCAATATTCAAAAAATATTTAAAAAATATACAATTGTTTTTATTAAATTTGAAATATCCCTATTTGCAACCAGTTTGAACCATTTGCTAGATCTATTTATTAGTTACATGAAAACTTTAATACAGAACAAGAACAAATGAAAGATTAATTGCATTAACGATATCATAGCTGGTTTATATTCCCATAAGTACACGCAATAGTCATCACAAGTTGCAAGTTAGTTAAAACATTATTTTCATCATGCTTAAGATTCACAGTTAGTATAATATATATTTTTTACCAAGAAAACAAGACCCAATGATAACAATTAATATTTTATTCATTAATAATAAAATTACACATTATTTGACAACATTTATACAATGCAACACTGGTAAATCAATAAGGCATATTGGTGGTTATTACCCTTTATAATTTCACAACGTAGTTATCATTTCTTCCAAAGTCAGCATATCTGTTACAATTTACATATATTTCTTTGGCTGAATTTATTGGACCCTTGCTCACTCAAAACATGGGCAATTGATTAAATGATCTTAGTGATGGAATGCTTGATAAATTGATGAGATTGTAAGTAAACGGTGATTTATGATTGATACATTTAAACTGTCGTTTAAAATCGTACGGTATTCTCTCAAACAAGTGTGTTTATATCGCTTGCGCTTTCACATTTTCGTTCACAGTACACTATCCTTTGTAACCGTTTCATTGAATTATGAATCATCCTGTCTTCTTCAGTTCCATTAATAAATTTGCTAAGTTACACTCATATCTCATATCTGTAATTGTCCCCTAATCATTTTTGGAATTTGTTTTTTATTTCGAATTGATGAGAAGATTACTGTCGCAATTCGATGCTGACGTTATCATATGCAACATTTCATTCACGAAATACCATAAAAGGGTCTGGAAGAACTTTTGGCGCTTAATGAAACATATTCAAAGGCGTGTATAGCATTCATGTGAGAAACAGGTTACATTCTATGTTTAAATTGTCTATATTTTTTCAAAGACTCACGGTTAAGAGACTAAGATCATACACATTTTAACTTACAGGATATCGCATGATTACTTGTATATATTTTTTACGTATCTGATACAAAATAATATTTGCTCTGCATGTTAAATACTTGTAGATTCAATACCCTGATATCTACCACTACACCTGAAACGTGATAACTGGTAACCAAATAATAATATTCTAAACTTCTCAAATAATATAAAGTCTACATATATTTCGTTTAAAATCTGTTCCTTATCAATCTTTAATAACTTGATTATTTTACACTTTTGAAAAATCTACATTTAGAGTGCCATTTTGATTCGTCACATGAAAGTCGTAATGCTATGACGATTTCATCATTTTCAAATGTGCAAACAATTGCATCGGAAATCAAACTTATCCTTGTACGCGTGGATCATTACTGATTAATATACATATATAGTCTTTGTTTATTTCATAACAATTATATAAAACAACCTCAATTAATCACTCTTGTTGCTCTGCATGTTAGCGCGCGACGGTCTTCATGTGGAACGAAACCGGAGTCTCCACCAAGAAAAAATCCACGTGGTCGAACTGGTGACCATATACAATGTACCTTTTCACGTCAGACCGGTGAATCTAATCCTTGCCGTAGTTTTGCAAGGCGAGTGCGTTATCCACTTCGTCACTTGCCCATCCCACTGTTGATTGTGTTACAATGGTTCTTCACCAACGTATAGAGCAGATGAAAGTGTATGGAAGGTCGATGTTCTTTTAACATACATTGTCAATTACATTGTCGATGGTATAGTATGCTGTGTCCACATGTATATAAAAACGTAAATGTAGTTTAACTTTACTTTAGAGGTTAATTTAACCGTTCGCTGTATATACTGATGGTGAATGACACGTTTTATACGAAACAACAGCCATGCTATATCAGATCATTGTCCTTAAACTCGGTTTCTGAATGCTTGGAACTGTTTTTGCTGGATCCTGAAACAAAACATAACAGTTTTTTAAAGGAAACTCCTCTTTTCTTTTGTGATTTGGGAATTCAAAATCCTATTATTATAACATACAAGAATTCCACGGAAGCGGATGTGTCGCCTGCGCAGGAAGCTGGGAGATTACAAAGAAATAGATACACTTTTCATTTCAAGAAATAATGTTAAAAGTAAGCAATAGTCATCGATTATGTTTTTGGATGGCATCATTTTGTTATATAATCTGTTATTCTGGGAAGAATACTCTGAGTTTTAAGGAACTTGCTATGGATACTCATTGTCTCAATTCTAAGTTTAATTTGTATGATTTGTCGGATGGTTTCCCATAAATAAATGAATAAACTTGTGGATTATGATGTTAAACAGCTAGTGTTGTCAATAACTTTTGGAGTAAGACGACATTTCAGAGGTATACACGGTGGGTCAAGTGGTAAATCGAAGCCGTCCAGTATACAGTTTTAGTGAAGTTTCTATTTATAGTAACAGTGAACTAGACCTGTGACGTTCGGACCTGAAAAGCAATCCCAAGCAAGTACTTTTGGTAAAGAAGCACTGCATGAAGTTTGAGTTTGATCGGCCCAAGGAAACTCAAGTTATCGCACAAAAACAGATTTTCTATTTATAGTAACAGTGACCTTGACCTTTGCCCTTCGGACCCGAAAGCAATCCCAAGCAATCAGTGTTGGTAAGAAAGCACTGCATGAAGTTTGAGTTTGATCGGCCAAAGGAAACTCAAGTAATCGTACGAAAACAGATTTTCTGTTTATAGTAATAGTGACCTTGACATTTGACCTTTGGACCTGAAAAGCAATCCCAAGCAAGCACTTTTGGTAAGGAAGCACTGCATGAAGTTTGAGTTTGATCGGCCAAAGTAAACTCAAGTAATCGTACGAAAACAGATTTTCTGTTTATAGTAATAGTGACCTTGACCTTTGACCTTCAGACCTGAAAAGCAATCCCAAAAGCAGTTTTCGTAAGGAAGCCCTGCATGAAGTCTTAGTTTGATCGGCCTAAGGAAACTCAAGTTATCGCCCGAAAACAGATTTTCTATTTATAGTAACAGTGACCTTGACCTTTGACCTTCAGACCTGAAAAGCAATCCCAAAAGCAGTTTTCGTAAGGAAGCACTGCATGAAGTTTTAGTTTGATCGGCCTAAGGAAACTCAAGTTATCGCACGAAAACAGATTTTCTATTTATAGTAACAGTGACCTTGACCTTTGACCTTCGCACGATAACATCCGTTCGGACAACGCCGCCGACAAAGCAATACCTATGTGTCATCAGCTTTTCGCAGGCGACACACAAATTGTTCATTAAAGAAACATAATTAAGATATTATTTAACTGAGCACAATTCGAGGTTTTATTTTGATATAAGACGTAAATAACAATAAATTGATATAACAGAAACCAATATGTATACTAAGAGTATTCATTCGTGGTATCTGACGTCACATAAGGCAATGGCTGAAGCTGTTAATAAAATTACTTTTCCCTCTTTAATTAATCAATTTAAATTATCCCATCGACAAATTTTCTGCAAATCGAAGGGTAGTAATAGTAATCTAAGTAATAGACGAAACGCATTAAGCAAACGGAAAATATAACACTGGATAAAAATTGTGCTAATATTGTGTTCTCTGTAATTTGCAAGAAGTTAAAAAGTAAAAATTACATACATTTTTATAGTTCCCCCTTATCATCGGCCTTTGTACCAATACCGTCTGGCCAGGGAATCGTGTCTAAGATATATAACAAGTTCAACATATTACTTCAGTTTAATCATGTGTTTTATACATGTAAATGCCATCATTATTTATCTTCGTTTTAATGTAATACATTGCACGTTTTACTGATCGCATTCCATGCTTGTGTCTTAAACAAAGATCATTATCTGATCATTTTTACCTAGGGGATTAGCAGGTATTAAATGAAAATACATGTACGTATTACGTTTTATGACGTTTTTCCTCTAAAATCGCTGTGAACGTGTTAAGCATAATGTTTCTAAAAATACCAAGGGGTTACAGTGTATTTTTATGTTTTGCTGTTGTGTTAAACTTATATGAAAGGGTATATTGAATATATATTTTGATTATTTTTACTCAAACTTTCACAATAAATGACCAAACATTTCTTTGAACTCTTTGCCTGTGCATGTAAATATTGCGTATAATACCGTCAAATAGCCATGTTCATTACAATGTGTATCTCCCATCAGAATATATAGTAACAATATGGTAGCAACAAAGAATGTAAATCAGTTCAAATTAATTATAGCAACACTACTATGATAATGATGATGACTTACCAGTTTCATCCTCGTCTTTCTGATCCGTGAGAATGTGCCCACAGGGAAGAAACACAATACATCTGTCCTTCTCGTCACAAACGATACACTTGGTCTTCTCCCGCAGGTGTTCGATCTCTTCCCTGATCGCCTCAACAGCTTTAACAAAAAAGTATGTTGTAATACGTTTTGTTATAAGTTAAAAGAGTGTGTGATCTAATACACTTTCCGACAGTTGTGGTCAAATAGCACTAACCTGTTGAGTTATTAATTAATGTTTACTTTCACTATGAGATAACGTTTCTAAAATGATTACAACGATCAATAAACATGTAGGATAACTAATTCTCAAATGTCTGTATACTTACCAAGAACCTCATCATCATCATCATCATCATCATCATCATCATCATCATTAATCATTTTGATTGGAAAACCGTTCGATGCCAATCCACCTGTATATGAAAACACATCATAGTTCTTAAAGGATCATATCAAAACAAATAGTAAAATTACCTGTTTATACAATTTCCTAATATCTCTTTCAACGGCATTAACACGGCATGCATGTGCTATTTTCATATTAACAATAACATTACCTGAATTCACTTTTATCGAAACCTTTCACATATTGGAAATAGTTAGTTTGAGGTATTCTTGAACAAGTTTATTTCGTTTAGGGTACACATATCTAGATGCAAATATAATCCTTAAGACGCAACCCCAAAACACTGCTGTTTTTATGAAACATAAGTAAATACACCAAAATATCTACATTTTAATAAGCTGACACAGTGTACTCAGTAAATGGAGATTATGATAAGTGTTAAATTGTTTCACATCCTTTCATGTTTTTAATAAGGATGTTTTTATCACGTCAATACCAGTCTGAAGTATTAACTTCTATGCTGTTTCAACATATTTGAACTATGTCACTACATAATGTTTTCCTTTTGCTAATGTCATGTATACAAAAAGTAAATGCTATATTTATTTATAAATATATATTTATGAATGACAGCCTGTCATAACAGGGCTGGGATTATCAGGATTATGTACTTACTGGCATCATTATCTGTTAACAACTGACCTGCCTCTTCCATCTCAATGATTATGTCCATCAGGTCTGCAGCCTTACAGTCTTGTCTCCCTTTTCACAGAATTTACTTGTACTAATATTCTGGTAACCTCAAACTCACATAAAATAACAATCTATATTTGCATTTGAGATTGGCATTGTTTTAATATACTGGAATTGAGATGCATTTAGACAAGCACTTTGTAAATCGATGTACCTTGTACAAGGCTTTGTTTTCATGTAATATATGTGTTCATTCTTCCTCAGACTTAAAGTCATTGACATTTTCAGCTTCCTAGATACCTTAATTTGTTTAAACTTTATATCAATACTGGTAAAATAAATCTGAATCGAAGGAACACTATTTAAAAGGGATAAATACATCGGGAATACGCCGGTAATTAAAAGTAAAACAACAATTCATACCTGTAAGATCTATAAATGTTTTGATAACCACCCTTATCGTTGCTCTTGAATATCCCATCTCCTTCATACTCCTGGCTGCAGCAGAATGCATCGGGTTTCTTTGCTCCAATATTTTACATGCATCAACGAAGCTAATTATCCAAGTATCTGAAACATAATGAAATTAAAAGTAGCTGGATCATAGTATTTGATCAAGATCAACCTTAAAATATCCATGTGAACTTTTGCGTATTATGACTTAATATTAGAAAAGAAAAACCTAAAATCCGTCTGTAAAAATATTGTTATAAACAAATAAATTACCAATAACGCACAATAATGTTGCTGTCCAATATCAGTTTAAACTTGACGATCCAGTTTTTGTCATCACAAAAACAACTCATTACTAAAACCTGACTTCTGCGACATTTTCTGTAGGGTACCTTACTCTTGTTGAATTAAATAAAGGCCTGTTTAACCCACTTGTTTATCTCACAAGGATAGTGTTACTTTGATATATATCCATTTATTACATTTTTGCCAGTGAAATTCGGATTCTATCAACTTGATAAAAATGATATCTTTCACACTGTGACAAATATCCAAAGTGATATTTTCATAGTGTGAAAATATCACTTTTTGGTATTGACCAATCATAACGGTATCTTCTTATCGCTGCATTCAAAGGCAACGATATTTTTGTTCAGATTAAAATGAAGCTGCTGTAGAATAAGTGGTTGTTATGGTAAATGTTTGATGCACAAACTTAAGTATTTACATAAATATTCAATTAATAACATTTGTATAAGCAATCATAACAGAAAATAGCAGAAAACGTCGGAATTGTGTTGAGTATCCAATTCAAAATGGGGCGCAGCCTTGTTGTCAAACGTGACGTCATAAGAATATGGCGTTTATTATTAAGCTTCTAATTCCCGCACTTTTTTAATGCAACACATTTTTCATGTTTTATGCTTTAAAAATGCGATAAATAGAAAATTTAATGGTGTCTTCAGTAATACCAAATATATTTCACTCGTGTGGCTAATAATTTGATATTAGTCACTCTCGTGAAATATTTTTGGTATTACTAAAGACACCATTAAATATCCTCTATTTATGAATATATATAAATAGAGACAACAAATCATAGAAAACCGGAATACGTTGCAAATTTAATAAAGAATATGCTATTTAGTCCTTTTGCAGCATGTGAAGTCATGTATTGATTATTTATAGCAACAAGACGATAGGGACAGGCGACCTATTATAATCTAACGGGGAGCTAGAACAAGAGTTTTTAAATAAATCTTGAACTGTGCATTTGTGACAATGTATTTTTTATGGTTTTTTTTTCTCCATTTAAAACGATTGTGTCCTTTAAAGTAATTTATCCATTTCGAGATAAAGTAATAAAACGACACTTGTTTGCAAACCTCTATTTATGATAGATGTAAATTAACCAAATATGTATAATGAACGTATTACACAGGTAAGGGTACCTTTAATACTTGGTATTATATATAATATGCAAAACAATAAATACACAGCAACATGCATGCGCTTTGTTAATCAAGACTCATAAGTGATGCTAAGAGTAACAAAAGGTGGCAATCCGAATTGGTCTTCACATAAGTGATGAATAAAGTGTGTTTATTATGCAAAAGAGACTACTGTGGCTATCAAAGTCAGGGGAAAGAACTGGGCTCAGAAATCCACCAGAAAAAGTTAACCACTTTGGGGACTCAGAACTCCACTAGTAGAGTCGACCATTTTTGGGATGTAGAAACCCACTAGTAAAGTCTACCATTTTGGGGACTCAGAAATCCACGAGTAAAGTCTACCATTTTGGGGACTCGGAAATCCTTTAGTATAGCCTACCACTTTGGGGACTCGGAAATTCACCAGTATAGTATACCAATTTGGGGACTCCACCAGTATAGCCTATCACGTTGGGGACTCAGAAATCCACCAGTTTAGCCTACCACTTTGGGGACTCAAAAATCCATCAGTATAGTCTATCACTTTGGGGACTCAGAAATCCACGAGTAAAGTCTACCATTTTGGGGACTCAGAAATCCATCAGTATAGTCTATCACTTTGGGGACTCGGACATCCACCAGTTTTATACCAATTTGGGGACTCAGAAATCCACCAGTATAGCCTACCACTTTGAGGACTCAGAAATCAACAAGTAGAGCCTACCACTTTGTATCTTGAAGAAAAATAAAGCAAGACACACAATGATGATGGAAAGTTTTAAAATTTGGTAGTTAATGAGCATACCATTAATGGTTCGTTTAGCTCAAAAGATTAACCAATAAGTCTTAAATATAAATAATTGATTATCTTTGGAATAATCCTCAAGGCGAAAACAAATTATCGTTAAAATTCCGTTACGCATGTTTATAACAACAAATTAAAATATAAAGGAAGTTTATTGAACAATGAGGTCACAAAATAAGCTAAAATAGCATTATCATATTTATTTTTGAAACATTCTACAATTACTCTGGTTTCGTCTTCCATATCTCATTATTTAACTCATGGCATACTAGAGCAAGCTGATTGAGCTATACGGGAATAGCTATATTTGATATTGCTACACTCACCCTCGTTGCCCAGCGCTGCTGCAGGTTGGGTGACAGGTGTTTGTAGCCCGCATGCGGCCTGGTGAAAAATTAATAAGCATACCAATATCCTCACTTTGTATCAACATCAAAGATCTTTATGGAAATATGAAATCACCATCGTAAGACATAACGCAAACATTTCAGTATCACAATTTATGGATATATTACAGGAGTTGGTACAAGATTATTGTTCATGCAGGTGTTTCGAGAAAAAACACTTAGTATACATTTACCATGACTTTTCAAACAGAAATGAGTAAAAAAAAAAAAAATATAACCGTTATGCTTCCCTTCAGTATTTCTAGTTATAAATCAAGTTCTTTCAATAACCAGTACATGACAAACTATATGTATTACTGACACTTCTAGCAGTAGAAGCTTGAATGAATTTTCTTCCTTTAATCTTCAGTACAAAATTGCAATACGGAAACCAGCGTGCGTGTTCTACCCAGGGATCATCTGCATGTTCCCACTTCAAAAGGCAGCCGTCACAGTAGTGACACCGGACAGTATCTCCCATCCCTACAGAAACACATCATTGTTCAACACCAATCAATAAAGAATTAATATATACGTGTTGACGGAAAATTCATAATTGAAAATCTACAGTTTTGTCTAAAACTTAGAAATACTTGCTTGACCTACAAATCAGACATTAACATTCTTTTAACATATGCCAATTGACGTCATTTTTTCGTGAATGTGAGATGCAAATATTATTAACATATACTTCAAAATTTATTTCTTTTGGTCCAAGGTTCAAATTGATCTGTGTGAAGTCAAATACGGTACAAATAAGAAAAGTACACTGTTTTGATTGAAAATGATTATACTACAGTGTAAACACACACAAAATCAAAATTGGAACTATAATCTGACAAAAAATTATGAACTTTTATATGATATGATAAGTATTAATGATGTATTTACGGACCCGTGTAGAAAAAGCCTGCAACTACGAGCTGTTCTGGTGTTTGTAGTACGGTTTCCCTCGGCCAGCCAGCATTTTCAAAAGTTCTTCTTCTGAATTCTGATTGTGTTTGAAGAGGATGTTTCGGCGTAAAAATCTGAAACAATGTAGATGATGTCTCACAAATGGTGGCCTACATAACGTCTTTGTTATCGCTGTAATTAATAAAAAAAATGTATATTGTGTAACGAGTCACATGGGACACCACGGCAGATGACAATGTTTTTAATGTTACATTTGTATGTGATTAAATTTGGCCTGAAATCATTTGAGCCATATCTCTAGCATTGTATTTTACTGATGGTACGCATCTATGAAATGTTCAGAAATTCGTTTATACTCGTGAATAAGGTGGTGTCTTTTTTCTAGTTTGTTTAATAATCGTAAGGCGCACACATGTGATTGCATCTATATAATTTTGTAAACGATACAGTATAATAAAAAGTATAACTAATCTTGAAACAAAAGAGGAAATGCGTAACACCCCTTCACATTGGCTATATAAAATTAATAATGAGTAAATTTTGTATGTTGAACAGTGCTACAGTATTACACACAAAGATAATTTTAGCCATCACGGTAACGACAAACCTCGGGAACTAAGGAAGAAAAATTACCGCAAGACACACACATTTGCTTAAATCTATTCCGATTTGGTAGCAGATTCAATATGCCAAAAACGAATGACACTAAACCCTACAGCTATTTCGTCCTTTTATAACCCAAGAGTTCTTTGAAAAAAAACAATGGCTCATCACAACTGGTAAAGTGACCAAAATATCACTACACTTTTTTTTTCTTTACATATTTTCCTTTGAGTTTGTAATTTGAATTTTAAATTGATAAAAAAGTGCACTACCGAAAGAGGAAAGAGTTGACAAATCATGTGTTATAGTAGGGGGAGGCCTGAACGCGGCCGAACAATATTGGATGATTCATAACATAGAATGGCGAGGCAAGACTAAAGTGAGCTTACGATGACAGGGAAAATGGAAGAACAAACAAATGTAATGTTGCAATAGCTTACCCGTGCCCATTGCGCCTGAATGTTATTGATGTAATATTGACCCTTCTTGTCCCTTAGATATGGGCATTCCGGACCATGACGGGCGTGTTCTACCCAGGGATCCTCATCTGGATTCCATTCCGCAAGTCCGATATCACAGTAGAAACATCTCACAATATCTTCAGTACCTTAAATAATAAGGAAAAGTAATAGTTAATTTCAGATCTGAAATCTACTGTTGAGAATACAGTTTTCCAATTACGCATATTTTATTCGTTAAAGTGAGGTTTAAAGTTATACCTGTGTAAAAGAAACCGGCGTTAACCAAAATATCAATATCATGTGCAGCTCGATGTGGCCAGACTGTGAATGTTTCACGTCGATCGTTCTCCTCTGTGTAGATTGGGTTTCTCGTAGAAAATATAAGATTACCACCTTCATCTCTTGGCATGGTGTTTTCTTTCTCTTGTTCGTTTAGTGCACCAGCGTCATGCTGGTTGTTTTTAGTTACTAATCCTTCAGTGAATGAATTTGTAGCAGACACAGTATCTATAGGTTGAAGATTACTGGCTGACGGTACTAGAACAATCTTTCTATAGTCACAATTTGGATGATGTCCTGAAGACGGTTGAATATAAGTGTTGGGTGTATCCATAGTTTGCCTATTAGTGTTACGAGTGTCCTCTTCATGAACAAATTTACAGCCGGGTGCTACTGTCCTGTGGTATTCCAGTGGATTTTTAACGTTTAAGTCCGAAACATCTAGTACAATCCCACATTCCCTACATTCCACTACACTGGATCGAGGATCCGTACAGGAAAAACCACCGTCAATTAACGGACCTGTACGGACTTTCCTATGTTGCCATTTACCAAAACTTTCTAACCGATGCATCATTCCATTTACTCTGTTATTTGTAAGGTTTGTTGCCGTTAGATTTATTCATAAACTTCTAACTCTTTTAACTGCTGAAGTTTTTCTTCGTTTCTGTTTTTTTCTTAAGGCATTTGATTTTCCTTGTAAACTTTGTTTGTCGATTGTTTCCTTTTCACCAGTCCTACGATTTAATCTATGTTTCTGTTTCCTCTCCACTGCACATCGCATATTCGAATTTCCTTGTTCAGTCCGATAAATATCTAGGGAGAATAAACAACAGTTACATAGACAGACTGTAAATAAAATGTATACACGTTTGACAGGAAATTTTATTTAAGACATTAGAAAAAACGCAGTATAAACAAGTTAATAAAAAGGATCTGATGTATATTTGTTTATTCTAAATTATATATCCAAAGTACGTTCATCTACATCTGTAATACCATGAGTGGGCTCTCGCTGACATTATAATGTGATTAGTTCGTTGAAGTCATGCATACAACAACTGTAATTTTAACTTACTGAATTGTTCATTCTGGATATTTAAAATATTTTGTTGATATATTTCTTTGTCACTATGGTAACAAATAATTCATTTACTAAATATGCATTGATAATGTATACGTACAATCCGTTTCTAGATCGATTGGTTTTGATGGAGGGCACATGTGCACAGTACTTGTCCAGCCTGAAATACCGTTTCATCTTCGGTCATTTCTTTCTCTGCTAGTCCCTTAATTGCTTTACTCTTTTGGTCTAATTTAACAATGTTTTTGAAAATAGGGTCAACTTTCCTTGCAAAATTCGAATCGATTCTCCGGATAATTTTCATGAGACAGGTGTGAGCTTGGATGCGTGTTTTATAATATCCTTCTGTCTTCAAAATAAACATTATATCTTTAATATCTTTAGCCTTTTCTAACGAACCACGTGGAATATGCACAATTCCTTCCATCAGGTTTAGAAATTGTTTCCATGTATCATGCTTCTCTGGCGTTAAAAAGTCATCAAGCATGCTGATCATTGGCCTTTGTTTGTCACGAAGATCTTTCATCATATCTGAATAAAAGAATAACACTAGAATGAATTTTAGTAAATCTAGATTTCATTGCTCACATCCAGACATTAAATGTTGGGGCTCCAAAAAAAGAAGAATCACACACTTAACCAAATCAATGAAAAGATGATGTGAATGCCCATCGACGAAACGTGAAATAGTGTATCACAGGTGACATGCAGAGTGACGTCTCTGTATTATCTATGAAATAATGATGGGAAAATATCTCGAGTAACGATTTAGCTTTTTAAAGGCACGTTTATATCATTGCGATAAAAATGCTTGTGTTATACCTTGTTACATACAATCGACAAGATTATGCATCTAACAATCATTTATACAGGTATTCAAAAAAAAAATATATAAATTGTATCTTCCCACCTACAATTCTGATGTGCTTTGTCAATACTCCAGTCGTCTGTCTGCTTCGAACTGCCATTGCTATTTCCCATTCTTTTCTGAAATCAATTTAAAATCAGCCAATTTAACATATACATATATAATTACAAATTAAGTCTTTATCTTCAACCACCGAAACCATTAGGCCATCATATTTCATTTCTCTTTAGAAAGCAAAATCTTTTCAGAAATTGCTATGTTGATACTTACATTAGTACTTTCTCCATGTCTGGTACCTGTGGATACAATAAACATGATCAAAAAAGCTATTTAGTGTTTTCCTTAAAAAAAATAATAATATAATTCTCATTGAGTAAAATCCATGAAATCTGGAAATGCTGTACATCGATGTAAAAGTAAATTAAAGCAATTAAAAGGTTAAGACATTTCCTCACAGTATAACCTCGCTCTTATATTGATTGTAAATCGACAATTAATATAATCTGAATTTATTAATAGCATTACAGATATATCGGAAGTGTTGCAATTGCTTATATTTTTGTTTATCGTCAACACCAAGTAAACTTTCGATTTCTTTTTGAGTTAGATTTGCACTCTCAAAATACATATTGCATGACAAATTTGCATTTCAATAGAGCCTTACCTTTCGAATCCCCAACATGTTTATCACAATCCTGTTGTTTATGACTCTTTTTTCGCTTTTTTCTCCTTTTTGCTTTAATTCTTTTCCTTACTTTGTTTTTGTGAATTGTTTTTCGGGCAGAATGATTTCCTGGTAGAAAATAAACAACATCATTATCAGGAAGACTCCAAGGATATTGATATCAATTTCAAAATTTCCATATGTATATATATATATTAAACAGCAATACCCACGTTTAACTTCAAATAATAAACCATCATATGGACTCTTGAAATTTAACAATTCATATTGTGTTTTATGAAATTTCTTGACGGAATATGGTTTTGATTATTCAATGGATAGATTATTCTGAAAATAAGATGTTTCATTCTGATTGCTGATATCGATTTGACTCGTTGATTACAGCTTTTAGTTCTGTATGAATCTTGTAAATTTCATATAAAAAAGAAAAAATCATATTCGATTCATTAATAATGTAATTTATTCCAACACAATCAATAATATTACTTAATGTCTAGTCTATTTTGTTAAATTTCATTTCATGTTGATAATTATGTTACATAAACTTTGGGTTTAAATAAAAACAATTCCTTTGAATTGTCAAGTTCCAGTTACTATTCTTAGAACTGGCTTATTTGATACTTCTTTGAAGAAATCAACAGAATACCTGAAAAATGCTCGAAAAAAAATCTTGTATTTAAATCATTTATCATAATCATGATAAGTACAGATTGTTTAACTGGTAGCTTTTCCCAAATTTTGTCTGGGAGCATTTATCTATTCTTCTGTATATGCATATAAAATCCAAAAAATATCATGATCACCAATCATGAGAATTGGTGGTATTTATTGGGCTATGAAATACGGTTTCGTAAATTAATATAAATATATTTATCAGTATTACCTGGTACAGCTTTCCTGTCAACACCGTGTTTTCTTTGTCCCATTTTAGTATCGCCAGCTATCTTACCAAGTCAGGTGTTAATGTTGATCAAGCCTTCAACACCAGCAAAATAAAAACATAGTATCTCAATTAATTAACCTTGTAATTGAAGCCAACTCTACACTTCACAATAGTGTTTGCCCCCTGGTAATGCTATAATAAACAACCTTCCATTGTCTTTTTAATGAGTCAAAATAACTGAATGTGTAATACAATACAATTTTTTCTATGCATAAATCTTCTTCATTCTTAAAAAAACATTGCTAAGAAATGGATACCGAATTGTAAGGATGTATTCATTTAGTACATACAAGGATATTTTCTTATGTATTGTAAATCCATACTCATTTGTAAACAACCTACAGTACAATTAATTGTTAAATCTGCTACGTGTCATAAGTTATTAGTCAATTCGCTAGTTACAACAGAATAGTAAATTACAAGAGTTGGATCTAGACAGACATAGGTCCGTTGGCTACAAATCAATGAATAAGACGACGGTACGGACAACAACATTGGTCATATTTTCGAAAACCGTCCATGTCAATACACAAATATTCAACATTTCCTTAATGCAAACTACAAGAGAAACAACAGTTGTATTCCTTAAATATGTTCTAGCGTTGAAGTTTATATATATATATATAATAAATAGCTAGATGCAAATACAAATTGAATTGTGTATGGATCTGACATTGCGGAAAACAGGGGACAGACGCAAAAAGGACTGTGGATAGGAAAGTACAACAGGTAACAAGTTTCTTGACACCTGGTTATATACCGTGACTAGATGTTGTGTGCACCATTACTCCAAATTGTAAGGTCTCTAAGCAGTTGAATGCATTGGTTTCTGTTTCGTTTTCAAACAGCTAAACATTTCATCACCGAACAATTATTTATATACACTAACAAATACAACACTTGAAATCCAGATCATTGCACAGCTCGCAAAAGAAATGAAACAAAAAACAAAAACCAATAGCTAGGACTTGAGCAAGGCTACAAGCTTGTATGTAGTGCGAAAGTTCATAAGTGACGACCATTTTATAGATTAACTACCATTCAGCTTGATCATAATATTTTTGGACATAACCTTTGCTAAATATTAATATAAATAACATATAGACAGTACGCCATATATGGGTACTAAATCAATGTAATCAAATGCGCTTTACACTATATATTACGGTAAACGACAACCACGACTTTGATGAGTCAAAGAAACGGCCTACGATCCTTACGTTAGTGATCTATTACTCCATACTCCATTACAACTGTGTATGCGATAAGTGTGGTCGTTGCATTTGCTAATGTACAGTTAAATGTCTGAAAATATTGTTTTGTGTAATTAACATTTATAATAAATCAGATTCCTTTTAGCAATTGAGTGCGTGACAAGTTTTGTGCTATAAATAGCTATTTGGAAATAACCTCGACTATATTTAGAATCCGCAGTAACGAAAAGGTTATACAATACTACACGTTACAGAACAAATACTGTATATCACTATGGGGCGTTTATATTTGTGCTGCCATGAATATATGTCTATTATTTACATATCATAAAACTGCCAAATTGTGGCTAAGAAAGAGTTGGCGAATCATGTGTTATGGCAGGGAGGCCTGAACGCGGTCGAATCATATTGATAGATTCACAACAAGATTAAAGACACATCTATGGTATATAACATTTGTTAGTAATCAGTGAAATAAAAAGATATGATTGTAAATATAATACGAACCACTTCTCTGTCTTCATGAGCTATCATGTACGAGTTGTACTAACTCGGAATGCGGAATATGTTCGGACGTTATCCCATCAACACATCATGTTCACTGATGAAAACTTTCAAAATTGTTCATTAGTGAAAAATATCACTTTTACTGATTTAACCGATCAAAACACTAATTAAAAACTTCTTTGGAAAAAAAAGCAAGTGGCCCGTCTGGGCAAAGCCTGGTTAGCTTAACGATACGCCGGCCTCGAGAAAAATCCTGCCTAGTCATCAACCCAATCTACTGATCAGAATAATATTCTTTTATCAATCTTTGGGAGACTATTGTGTTGGGAAACTCATTGCTTAATTTCATACTTAGCTTTCATTTTCATGGAAGCTGGCAAACTAATTTGGCCAGCAATTCAAGCTATTTGATCGGGGGAAACACAGATCAAATGAACACGTGTTAGCGTCTCCAATTCCAAACTTTAGCCAAGCGATAAGTAGATAATATTTAAGAATCGTGGTCATCTGCAACAGCAATTAAGTATAACTTACATAGGTTGCGCTGATATATTACATCATCAGGATAAGTGGTGACACAACAACTCTGCATTTGTTTACCCTCCAAAATTTTAGATTCGGCGATTCAAAGTATCAGCATATCAACTAAAATCATTACGCATTGACGGGACCTCTGTCAAATACATGTAATTAGATTTGATAGTAATTTGGCATATTTTGTTAAATATATAAACTTAAACACTTACTATTTTGAATTAAGTGATGAAAGGAATTTACTTATAAGGTTTATAGTTTATTAAAAAGGTTTGCACATAGAACTATATTCTGACGCGTAGGATTGTCAAAACAGGCTAATGGTTAAATATAGCTTTTTGGAAATAACCTTCGCCAAATGCAGCATATATATTATTGTTGTTCTTGTTTCCATTTTCAACATCCATTTGTTGTACCGATTGTTGGACCATGGATACCAGATTACATATTAACATCCACTATACTGATGATTTACAACTAATGCTCTATTCCAGCTGCGTTCTTTATACAAAGCGATAATTTCAGTAAGATATTTATAGGTACCGGCATATACCATGTGGAGCTTCTCGATTTATTCTAAATGTAATGACAGTTAGACTGATTAGCTACACAACTAATTTCAGAGCTATTTTATTCACAATTTCGAAGCTCAATGACTCAATGCGATTACAATGATTTTAAAATCTTACCTCCTTTGCCGGATGTATATTGTGTGTTATTATCCATACAATCATGCAAATCAGAGTAATCTCACCCTCTGATGTGTAGCGATGTTAGGTGTAATCACTGGCACGTCCGATTCGACTAAATGTTGGCATTTTACATATTACTATTGCTTGTAAATACCTAAGTTAATAACAAAGTTATATCATTTTACAACAGTCTGGCAATGTTTTACATTTTGTAACTAGCAGATCAACTATTTTTCTTGATACAGATATTCATAGTGTATGTAGATTGGCCGACACTCATACACTTGTCAACAACCTTTGTTCGGACGTTACATTCATCTACCAAGTGCAGCTGTGAAGTGTCATAACCAAGCAGTGTAGATGCTATTCATTCGTCGTTGATTTATAGATAATCTAAATTGAAGACAGTCAATCATAACACATTTTGGGTATTTAATTTCATTGTTGACCTAAAGTTGAAACACTTCCGAATAATGAATGGATACCCATGTCGTAATGACAAAGAATGCTTTATTTTAAAACACAAAACTGCTCTTTTAAGTATCCTTGAGCTCTAGTACATCTAATCCATGTACATCATTATGATGTCAATCAAGTTACAATAATTATTATGTGTTCGGTTATTGGTCGTCCGTAAAGTGTTTGCTTTGTTTTTGAAACAGGTACCTGTGTGCACGACGTACCTCGTTGAGGGTGAATTATGTCGGACGTTTAAAAAGGGTTTGGATATTTCTTCGTGTATTGTTCACTTAAGGTCTTGTCTTCGTTAAATGATCGCTAGCCTGTGCTTCATTGTATGTAATCACAGCATGCAATACAAGAATAATAAGCAAAATCAGTATCAGAAAGTCATTATCAATAAGTCAGCATACCAAAACCAAGAGGGGTTCTAGTCCAAATAATTGTAAGTATATTGCACGTAACACAGAACTACCTGGATAACACGATACATGTAAATTATCATAATTGTAAAAGTGAGATTGAAAGTACTACATCTTGATTGGTATTCCTTTAAGTAATATTTTGATATTATGTTTTAGGTTCTTGCTTATGATGTTAGTTCACGATTGTCCAGTGAAAGTTCAACATTTTGTTGAAATGTAACTGCATCTTTTAATGTCTCGAGATCTACAATTTAAGCAACCTGGTATTTAAATGGATAATATGGTGTTTTCGATCTAGTTTACTACCGTGTAATTACCTGTGTGTGGTCGACACAGACAGTAACCGACCTTATCATTATCTGCGTTCGCTCGTTACCGATAAGGAATGTATGGTTAACCGATCCGTTTACTTACTCAGTTAAACACGATTGTATCGATGAAAACGTGAAATCACTTTTCGATGAATCAGAACGAAGTCCTTCAAACATCAAACATAAAACACCAAAGTATAAAGCCGCATAATGATGCAAATAACTAGATATTATGGACTGAACAGTCATTCCTAAGACAAAACAATTACTCAAAGTATCTTCGGCATACTATCATGTGTCTTATGTATCTTATTGTCGGTTATATACAGTTATTATATTACGGTAACTGTCAGGAATTACTCGATAATTTGTAATCTTTAATGCGATGGAACAAACCTGGCCCTCCAGTTGGAAGGAAAGCGCTGAGATTGCACAGCTGTACGGATAAATAATGTTGGGACGTCACAGTCGTGCAGCATCTTCATGCCATTCCACCAAGTCATTTTAGAATGCGTCCGAGTGTAACCAGGTGGAAATACGACAAACTCATGATGTGAGATTTGTTGTAGGTTTGTCAGCAATATAAAGTGAGTGTCGTCTGCTACGGTGACTCATATATAACGGTAGTGAAGTTCAAATCTTCTCATCGGGGTTCTATACAATAAACCTCCGAACTATGCGGCCCTATCGATGATTTGATACTAAGTGCCAGTACCATCCACTAAATCCTACCCGTGCACCAGGCTGTACTTTAACAAGACAATAAACGGTGTCAATATGGACTTAATACAGCATGTATACATGAGTTATATAAGTGTATACACAATATGTAAAGTATGGTTAGTTTTTTCTCCTAATTACCCTTTCTTTTCGGTAGTCTTTCTCTAGAACGTGTTATCAGTTGAATTGATTTGTGCTTTTAAATCCATCCAACAAGCATTATATCTACGATTTCCTAGCGTTATTTCATAGCTTAAATGCATTTATATTCCTAATACTATGCCGATTCTTACACAACATAAGCATGTTCATGCAAAATATGTTGCAATTAAGTCGTTTGACATTTTTGTTAAACAGACGTCACCTCATCCGTTCAAATTTGACAGGTGATTATCTAAATGAGTGTGCAACATTTATTTACTTGCTTTTATTTACGTGATATTCAATAAAGCTAACGTGGTGCAGATATGATGACCTAGTTTTATTTTAAAAGTTAAATATCACCTAAGAAAAATATCTGTTCTCAGATTATTTTTCCACTGTCAATTTAGACTAAATTGTTATTTTCTTTACCATGTTATTTTACATTTGTTGATAAGATGATAATCAATTTATTGTTTGAGGTGCTGCTATCAACTTGGTGGCAATTCGATATGTATTTGAAAAACTTTTGGATAAGAGCAAGCTTAGTCAGATATGACTCTTATTCTGAATCACAACGGATTATATATCTTTATATATATATATATTATAAAAGGAGAAAAATTATCCTACGGACAAAGTCAGGGTACTGGACAACACAAGTCTGCTTGAATATAAAGTCAGGCCTCACACACAGAGGGTACCCTGTGTAGTCACGTTCCACCCAAACATGCTACCGCTTCCATCACATTTGAAAACCCATTGGCCCATGATTGAATCTTCAGAGAAACTCAAACAGATTTTCCAAGAGACAGGGTTATTGCTCTATCATAAGCAAAATATTAAACGGATCTGGTGGTAGCTAGTAAGCAACAAAAGACTCTTTCAAAACCTGCAATAACAAATGAGCAAAATGTGACCATACACAAGCTTCACATATTCATTTAGTTTATAACATGTTTTCTACCACAATAGGTGGGTGTTATTCATCTCCCAAGGCATCAATTAATCATTATAACTGTTGTAAAACATATTGTTTATATCACACGTGGTATAAACTCTAAACGCGTTTTGATTGGCTGACACGATGAACTTTGACCGGGACTCCTTTGAATGGACAATTTGGCGGGAAAGCGCTTCATGCGGTGGCAGAAATGATGATACACAGAAAGTAGTTCGTCATTGTTTTTGTGATAATAAATTCTTTATGTTGGTTTCTATAAACCTATTGCTTTGAAGACAATACATTTGTTACGTACTTGTTATGATTTGTAATAAATCAAAATATTTCCACACATTCCTGAAATTGTCATGTTTGCATATTAAATAGCGGCATTTTACTACAGGTCGTATCCTTACGCCCGATCTGATATCGTAAACAAAACACATGTCCATAAAGAACATGTCAATTTCCTCGGAATATTTTCTATTGTGGAAGAAACAAGGTCACACAAACTCGTGGTTGTTGTATGTGGTATTTATTTCAATCGAGAGAAAGAAAGAAATACCATCTGATATCGTAAACAAACCCATATATATGCATACAGAACGGGTTGTTGTAAATGGTATTTCTTTTACTCTCGTTTGTTATTTTTCAAAAGTTACAAAAAACACGAGCTTTAGCGTATACCATATACAACAACCACTCATTGTGTAACCTCTATATAAACATCGACATGCACCTCAGTCATTGTAGTGTACTTACATATATGTATATATCTAAATCAAAATCATCTTTGTTCCTTCATGTAGTCAAATTCTTCAACAGATATAAATTAAACGCAGCTGCAACTCATTCTCGGTGTCACCAGTTGGATATGGAATAAACGATAATCTTTCATTCTTTAAACGTTTATTCATAAAAAGTTTGAATAGATGACGATAGTGAACACAAACATAACATATCAAACAAATTTTTGTATATCCCTCGTAAAGAAGGTAATTTTACCCGAAGAAGAAACCTTCATATGTAACCTAAAGTCAAATTGGTATACTATTTGATCAAATGGTGTCTTCAGTTGTTAAAATGGTCAGTCAGATTGATAGATGTCCACTACTTTCCGTGTAAGAACAGTGAAGCTGAAGAGAGTTTTACGTCATCACTATGGCATTTGAATGATAAACACTATCATCTGACATAATCGACATAGATCCTCACGTTCTCCTTGATTGTATTGTTACATCTAGCACACTTAACAAGGCCTGCTGCACACTGCTGACACACAAGGTGGCCACAGGGCAGTGATATGTTCATCACATCTCTCGTGCGACAACTTTTACACAGCAACCGGTTTCGAAGTCGTTTATTCTCAAAGAATGCCTGTTCATGTTCTACAACATTAATAACGAAATCATTCAAACAATTTGAATTATGTCGAGTATATCACAGTCTGATGGTCCACTGATATGTATTTAGACAATTTAAAAATTACATTTGGTTCGCAGTTATAGCTTGGAAGTATATGTTTCCCATAATTATATAATGAGAGAATGTTTTTGTAGTAAAATCAGCTTGTAAATAGACAACTAGCAACATGGGGAAAAAAATGTACTTCACCGAGCTCTTACTTGTATTAATAATACCAAACGATTAGATGTGTGAAACAAGGTTATATATGAAAATACTCGTAATATTAAGTAACCATAGAAAGCAATATAACTCGTGTACATGGAACAAACATATGTTGAAATCATCACTACTTATACATAAATCAGTTAAAATAAGTGTTTTACTTTTGATAGTCTTCCCTTGGCAATAACTACAAAAATCCAAATTAAACGTTACTTACCTTGAATGATATCAATCAAATCCCCCGCATCAAAATCTCGCCTTCCTGAAAGCAAAGAATTTCTTAAAAATGTTATAGGCATTCAAGGAAGAAAGATTCCTGGTTAAATTTGTTAGTCTAATTCATTTTAAGGTATTGAAGAGTATATTTTTTCGATGAAAAAGAAGATTTAGAGAAGTATTTAAGATGAAACTAACACAAGGGATGTGAAAATCATACCTGTGCGGGAAATAAATGCTTTGATTGCACCTGTGATGTTTTTCCTGTCATAGCCCATTGTCAGTAGACTCTGCGCAGCAGCTGACCACATGGGATCGCGCTCCTCCTTAATGCAGAACTCTTTGACACATGACAATCGGAGTACTGCAATGTCGAAGATTAATTATCTATCAATTAGCACTATTGACTGTTAACAATGATTAGTGTTAATAATATAAAAGCATTATTGTTCCTCAAATAAGTCAACAAGTCAAAATGTATCTGATTTATTTTTTCAGAACAACTAAAAGATAATATACGTCATACCCAACCATAACAAAACTATAGGTAATCGTTATAAAGGAAAAAAAGATATATACCATGTCCCTCTTGTCCGGCCGCCACTGGAAGATGATGGCCCGGTCGTTCTATTCCGGTCTGTAATGATATTTCGGTGTAATAACTAAAGCAATACATGCATTTACTAGTATGAATTGTTATTTTTTCTAGACAAAAAAAGAAGCATATACATGTTTGTATCCTTTTTCATCAAATAAATAATCCATGGTCGTAATACAAATATTAGTCAGTTATCATCTAGTTTAATACTTTATTAATGTTTGTAGTTAAATACTTTGATATACTAACAGACTTTGTGTAACATTGCGCCTTTTAAAGTATAAAGTGCACATCATGTAATTTACTTACAAGATCATTGCTGTGTTTTTCAATAAAGTCATTTCCTTTAGATGTTTGCACAAATTTACAAAATGGAAAGGTTTTGGCGTGTATCAACCAAGGTTCATCAGTGCTCCCATCTTTCCGCAGGATTCCGTCACAGTAATAGGATTTTACTCGATTTCCTATAAAAGTAGTTGATTTGATTTAATTAAGAGGTAATAACAATAAATGTAGATTACCCTTTTTAAGTTCCATTAATGCATATATCATATTAGCTAGTAGTGCATTACTATATTTCGATTACAATAGAAGAAAACTGTTTTTCGTTGATTTTGCCTCATGAGTTTGTTTCCACGTTAAATAGTGAGCAACCAACTAGTACAATGGGTGAAATATAACATTCTGAAAATAATTTCATTGTAAAACTCGCAAACTATGCTAAACTGACAATGATAATAGATAACGAATGCTAAATTAAAAAAAAACCATAATACATGTACACCAATGGTAACATTAATCTGTACCTTCGAGGAAAAAGCCAGCTTCTGCTAGACGTTCTGGTGTAATTGAGGAATTGATTTGGCGCCATTCATCGTTTTCGAATGTCTTTTGTCTGGCATCCATTTGCTGATACTCGGGATGTTTTGGTTTGAATATCTTAAAAAAAAACAATGCAACGTTTTTATATTGAAGATCTTCCATTTTTGTTGCAATTGTACACCTTATAACTTAAAAAAAATCGAGATTATCTTTTTTGTCATATTTGAAAAAAATAAATGCTCATTTTTGACAACACATGTATTTGTGTTATTTATCGGCAAAACACATTACAGGGCATTTCCTGTGTGTAATTTATTTTGTCTGCATGCTTAACACGAATGTATAAATTATTAAGCATATTATAACACACATCTCAAATAATTACGGGGCGACCATTTTTGTGAAAATATAAATGTATACCGTTGAAACTGATAGATGAAAATGTTGCTGTGCACACATAAGGACTGTTTGTACCTGTCTCCAATTCGCCTGGATGTTGTCAATCCATTCTTGGCTTTTTATGTTTCTTAGGAACGGACAGTCTGGACTATAACGCGCATGTTCCGTCCAGGGATCGGAGGTAAGGTCCCAGCCGCCAATACCAATGTCACAGTGGAAACACCGAACTACATCATCATCACCTTTATAAAAAAGATATTTTCCTTCATATATAAATTGTCTATAGTGCATGACTTCGCATAAACCTTGTTCAAATATATCACTAATAATAATTTTACCTTTGTTATGATTATACTGTACAGTAGTATTTCTAACATGATATTCATGCCTATACTTGAAATGAATTTGGAAACTGATATCCTCAATAATTTCCAAACAAATTGTATGCATACCTGTATAGAAGAATCCAGCTTCGCTATGCACGCTTGGGTCGCCTTGTTCCCAATACAGATATGTTGCATTACGTGCCGGTTCATCTGCAAATTTTGGATTACGAACAGGATATGAAGACCGACACACTTCATCCTTTCGGTCGTCATCTTCAATGCTACCACTCTGTTGTAAATCAGCTTTGTTAGCTTGCAGATCGGGTATTACTTGTTCTCTCAACGTTGCACCTACTGTATTGCCATCTCCCGTAGTATCATTCGGCATCGTCTCTTCATTAGTTGATGGTCTGAGAGAGTCGACAGTGCTGTAGTCATCACCATGGTCATATTGGCGTGGTGTTAGAGCTGTTCCATCTGATGGTGTTTGTTGATATTGTGACTGAGTGTTACGCACCATATACATGTCTGATGTCGTTGTGATTGGTTCAGTATTCAATTCCCTACGACACTTTATGTTTTCCTTGCTGTGCTTGTTGCTTTGAGGAAAAGATTCCATGCTTTGTCCGAAGAACTCCTTATCTGTTTTTATTTTCAATGGCGGACAACTGTTTTCTTCTGAAAGAAAAACATTACTTTATTTAATTAAATCGTACATCGTAAACTTAAGATTAATTTGTAAAAATACAATAGCAAGAATGACAAGTCTTGCAAACATTTTGATCATATGTTTTGATGCCAAAAACAAAACCCTCTAAGTGTGAAACATGTCACAGCATGTCATTTAAATGCGATTGGTCTTTCTTCTTTTTAACTAATTTGCATTGTAGGCTTACCTGTGTATCTAGACTCCTTTTTGCCAATTGTACTAATTGGTATTCTGTACCCATCTGTACATTTCTGTCCTATTTTCTCGGTATTGTCCTTTGTGACTCTCTTTGTATTGATCTCCAATCTCTTTCCGCCATGACTCTTTAACGTCTTTTGAGACTTTTGCTTCTTCTCTATCCTTTTAATCGTGATTTCTGAAACATAGAAATATAAAACAATGTTGATGGCAAACGAATTACTGTAATCATCATTTACCTGTATAAATTTCAGGATGATATTCATTGCAAAGTACAATGTATAATGCGTAATGATTATGCAAGCTGTAGATGTGTGACCGTCATCATGATGTCATATCAACTCCCTATTATTAAAAAAGATAATAATAAACAAAATTATGTAGATACGTAACAGGAACATTTCGAAATCAGTAAAAAATCAAGTGTAAAATCGATTTAAAAATATTTATGCTGTCGATTAAAATTATTAAATTCATGTGATATTCATATTCGATAAACTAAGTGATAATATTAATGTTTACCACAATATGAATTGTAATATCTTTAACATCGTTATTCAATGACGCCAATAAAAACTGACACAATAGTATAAAACGATTATCCTCATTAACTCAAAACGCTTATGCTTATGGCTATTTTCATTATTTCTGATAGCCTATACGAATAATTTTACTAATACCTTCTAGATACCGTTTTTCTCCACCCGGGAACCTGCTATCGCCATGTTTGCGACTCTGAAAAAATTGAAAGTGAACTATTTACGGACAGGGAAAACCTTTAAAGATGTATTTAGTCGAAGCAGAAAACCAAAGAAAATAAATATTTACCAAACTATATGGCGCTTTCGTCTATTTCAGTTTTTGTGTTGTACTAAAGGTCAAATGAAAATCCACATATAAAGTGTTTGATAGTATATGATGACTCGATGTGTATACCTTCATGAAAAGAAATGTTGATACATTGTATATATACTTTACGTGTATGACTTATCATCAAAGACGCGCATACCTCCCAGACTAGAGCGTTGTCGGTCATGCTCTTTGAATCCTCTTTCTGTTTTACATTTTGATCCGTCAAAGAATCCGTAACGGTTCGGCAATTGTCACCACACGCCCTGCCGTCCTGTAATTTGAGACGTATACACATATGATAGCTTTAAACAACGTTAATTGTGGCTAATTTAAAGATTAAAACGAAAGTCAGGATACATTGTATATGTCGTCGAAATAGTTTTCAACAAGAGGCCCAGAGGGCCTGTAACGCTCCCCTTTACGCAAGGATGCTCCACAATAAATATGGACCAAATCCTTTCATTCCTACAGAAGACGAAGGATTTTAAAGAATAATTTGCTATGTTTCCCCTATTGGGCTCGGCCCCTCAGGCCCCTGGGGGGCCACACCCACGATTTATACAAAATTGGTTCCCCTTCACCCAAGGATGCTTCTGACCAAAATATGGAACAAATCCTTTCATTCCTACAGAAGAAGAGGATTTTAAAGAATACTTTTCTATGTTTCCCCTATTGGGCCCCGCCCCTCAGGCCTCCGGGGGCCAGACCGACGGTTTATACAAAATTGGTTCCCCTTCACCCAAGGATGCTTCTGACCAAATATGGAACAAATCCTTTTATTCCTACAGAAAAGAAGGATTTTAAAGAACTTGCTATATTTCCCCTATTGGGCCCCGCCCCTCAGCCCCCAGACCCACCGTTTATACAAAATTGGTTCCCCTTTACCCAAGTATATTCTACACCAAATATGGACCAACTCCTTTCATTTCTACAGAAGGAGAATGATTTTAAAGAATAATTTGCTATGTTTCCCCTATTGGGCCCCGCGCCCAGCCCCCAGGGGGGGCCACACCTTCGATTTATACAAAATTGGTTCCCCTATACTCAAGGATGCCTCTGACCAAATATGGAACAAATCCTTCATTCATGCAGAAGAAGAAGGATTTTAAAGAATAATTTTCTATGTTTCGCCTATTGGGCTCCGCCCCTCAGGCCCCGAGGTGCCACACCAATGGTTTATACAAAATACTAATAATGTTCTCTTTTTAGTCAGATTTAATAAATATTTTGATACAAATACGTTCTCAACATTCCTATATAAGAAAATACTTTGCTTTCATATTTTATAACACAAAGTTAAAAAATCACATATGAAACGTTATTTCAATGCAAAGACACCAACATTCATTCAAATGTTACCGCCAATGCAATAAAAACATATTTAACAATCACCGATTCTTCCTTGGCCCTGTACTTACGGCACAATAAATAGATGTGTTGACATTTGGAAGTCCTATTCTTTGTCGATACAACGCACAGAATTCGTCCATAGGAACATTATCCGTAGCTGATGTTACAACGCCTATAGCATTTAATCAAACGAAAACACTTACATTGAATGAGCAATATCTACCAGACGCGCACTTATAAATAATATTTCAATAATGTATCCTTTATAATGTATTAAAAAAGATTTGTATGAATTTCACTTCAATTAGGTAAAGTTTAACATTTCACGTAGATAGCACTTAAAATGAAAATAACAAAATTTGAACTATATTTTGTACATTGTATACGCAATTTCACAGAATAACACACACAAAAAAGACAAAAAAAAACCAATGCATTTAAATAACAATGTGATTCTGAACAACTTTTGATTTGTAAAAAAATCCGGTAACCATTGTCACAAACTTGTAATAAATATGCGAAGAAACCTGGCGATTTTTATATGAAAACTATTGTTTAATAGACATCGTATGATTCGTGTTTAATAAAGCTAAACATTTAAATTCTAAAACTTCTGATTATTAATTTCATATGTATTTTGTATCATTTAAATGTCATGTTTTGTAAAACCTCGTGTTAACATTGTACATGTATATATATACACAATCTACATATATATGTAGGGGTAGGGATGAAACAAAATATTATCTGTGGAGATTTACGAAAGAATTACATGCATTCCTTTGTGATCTGGCAAAATTTCAAATGAAAATTAACAATGAAACAGTAAAACTCACAGGTGTTAGATCCGGTGAACTCGGTAGAATTGAACACTGCACCAAGTGTAGATTCCATTATTCCAATTCTAAAACAGCAACAGAATTGCGTCCTAATAATGGTGAATGACCGAACGACCCTCTATGATCAAAGTATGAACAGATTCATCTTGAACATGGAAGATTTGTTATTCATGACATTTGAAATATTCGAAATTGTTGTCAGGCAAAGAAAAGGAACAACCCTCTTTTCCTTTGCTTTGATATTTGCATTAACAACTCATTTAAGTATGTTTTGTTTCTTGTTCAAAATTGCTGTCTTTTACATATCGTTTTGAAGATTGAGACGTGCACAGTTCAGCTTTAGACATGACTGAATTGAAGCCTTAGATAATATGAAACCATGTATGTCTATATGCAACATTTTAATTCAATATCGTTATAGCTTTAATTTCTGTCGTTTCATTGCCAACCTTTTGATGTCTGTTTTTCCAATATTCCATTGTCCACTGGCATGCTCCTTGCGCTATTTCTTTCCTTGCCCTTCCGTTTACCATACATCCACTATTCGCCACCCATAGCCCTACCTTCCTCGTCCGTCCAATGACCTCCATCGCTCCACCTTAATCCTTAACTCTCTCGTCGGTTCAACATACTCCCACTGCTCGCCTCTAAATCTACAAAACGCTCGTTCGTACGCTTTACCTCCGACACTGGATCTTTGCTGCCAAGACTTTCCCCATCCATCCGCTGGACATGCTTTCCACCTTCCTCGTCGTTTAACTTTACCTTCACTGCTCATCCCCTTTAGCCTCGACTCTCTCATTCGTCCATACTACTCACACCGCTCCTTCTCTTAAATTCCAGCTTCCTCATCCGTCTACTGTACGCCCACTGCTGGTCCCCTTAACATCCCAGCTTATTCTTACCGTACCATCAATTATACATCAACGGTATATCACCTAGAGACTCACAAGTCTCGTCCTTCCAATGCATCTCAATCACTCCTCATTGAACCTTCCGACCATGTCGTCATGATACCTCCACTGCTCGATTCCTCAGTCACACCTCCCTCACCCGTGTACTATACATGTATTTCCACACTTTTCACCTAAAACACAGAGTCACTCGTGCGTCCGCTAAACATGCATCTCCACTGCACAATTTCTAAAGTAATCAGTATCATACATATGCCTCCATGCTTTTCCCCTAAAGTACTGAATCATTTGTGCGTCCAATACACCTCTACCTCTCTCAAATCAAGCCTCCATCGTTCGTTTTTTAAAGCCCCACTTTCCTCTTCCATCCACTTTAAACCTCTATCTTCTTTTCAGACAACAACTTATGCCCTCTCGGTCGCCCGCCGAGTGACTCTTGGTATCGTTTACCCATTCTAGGTTATTTCATAATGTTCCCTCTTGTTGTCCTTATCAATATAAACTCTTCTAATGTTCATTAAATGCCCATTTTATGTGTCTCGATTATATCAACAGCGTTATCTGTGGCAATATATCTTACTATACTGTAATCAGGGAAGTGTTTTACCTCAATTTGTTACGGTTAGAGACTTCTGCTGTGATATTGGCTGGTTTCGCTAGGTATCAACTGACATGATAACCACGTCAACACCATGCTAAGTGCTTACGAACGAAAAGCGGTAATGCAAGATAAACAAGCCATATCGAATGTCAAACATTAGCAATTGTAAGTGTGTGGTACAATGTACATGTGATGCATTCATACAAGTGCAGTAACCGAACCAACTATTTTATTTTGTTCGGGACTGCAGGTTCTCGAAACATCTAGGATCATATCAATAAAAGTGCCTACGAAGAGATGGCCGATTTAAAAAGAAAGAGTAGGAAAAAAAACATTTACGTAGCATATAAAATTCCGAGTAGCAAAAAGGTAGATAATGAAAATTTACAGAAATATTGTGTTGTAGGTCCTTTTTTATTTCCTTTATCTCAATATTTTTCTTTGAATTCAGGGTATTTTCTTTGTGACTATTAATCGTAAAATAGGTTTTCGAAGCGTAACAGTATCTACTTTAACAACTAAGATACACACACAAACACAACTTATATAGGTATATAAAACTAGCCACTTTGATATATATTCATGGTTTTGCATTACATGAGGGTACTGGTATAGGCCTAGCTTGCCTGTTAATCCTTTCCTTTATTGTTGTCAGTAACATTTGTTGAGATATAGATACACATTTCTTGTCAGTAGTCATTATAAATCCATTAAATGTATAATATTTAAACATACATCATCGTCTAAAAACTTGACTTACCCTTTTAGATTGTAGGCTGTTCAGCAAATATTTAATATCTGTAGGGCAACATCCGTTTTACCACGCAGTCATATTAGAAACATCTACAGCTATTTTTAGTAGAACGGAATAAACCTCAGCCATATTTAGAACAACAGTTTACTCTGTAAACGAGTAACATTTTTCTTAACGATCAAGTAGTTGGCTTTTGTATGTTAATGTTAACATAAAAATAAGAAATAACGATAAGTACCAATCTCAATAATTGTGTTTAAGAAGGATTTATGTGACACACTTAACTTGACTTCTGGTTAATACATAATGTACCATCAAATCAACGGAATGACAATCATTATAAATATATCAAATTTATAATATTTAAACATACTCGTCTAAATACTTGACTTACCCTTTGAGATTGTAGGCTGTTCAGCAGATATTTAATCTTTGTAGGGCAACATCTGTTTTACCAGGCAGCCATATTAGAAACATCTACAGCTATTTTTAGTAGAACGGAAATAACCTCAGCCATATTTAGAACAACAGTTTACTCTGTAAACGAGTAACATTTTTCTTAATTATCAAGTAGTTGGTTTTTGTATGTTAATGTTAACATAAAAAATAAGAAATAACGATAGGTACCAATCTCAATAATTGTGTTTAAGTAGGATTTATGTGAAACACTTAACTTGACTTCTGGTTAATACCGTCAAATCACCGGAATGGCAGTCATTATAAATATACTAAATGTATAATATTAAAACATACATCATCGTCTAAATACTTGACTTACCCTTTTAGATTGTAGGCTGTTCAGCAGATATTTAATCTCTGTAGGGCAATAACCGTTTTACCAAGCAGCCATATTAGAAATATATCTACATTTTATTTTTAGTAGAACGGAAATAACCTCAGCCATATTTAGGACAACAGTTTGCTCTGTAAACGAGTAATATTTTTCTTAATTATCAAGTAGTTGTGTTTGAGTAGGATGTATATGAAATACTTGTCCAACTGAAATTTGATTTTCCCGATATGCAGTGACCTCTGCTTAACTCTGTTTGTATATAACTATAGAACTGTCGGGGCGGGAAACTTCCGCCGACCAGGAAGCTCAACCGGTTAAAGCGATAGTAAGCAGCCGAACCGATTTCGTTTTCTGGATGGTCCAGAGAAGCTGTGTTATCCCAACATCTTACCCTTCGATGTCAATATACGAAACATCAATACAAAGTTATCGTGTGTGACGTAATCAGTACAACCACTTGTCGCCCGATACTTGTGGGCACCTGTGATTTACCCTACGTAGCTTTTCAATCAGGCCACTGACGGGGACCAGGTGAGCTACCGTTTAAACCTTAATTGATTTTAGGTAATTTGTGGTCATGGGTAGTGAATTTGTTTTCAACAAGAGCAGTTTTCCCTAGCCGGGTTCAGTGTCACCGATATTTAAATATAGAAAAATATAGAAAACTAGCCCAGGATTGTAGTATTATTCAAATGAAGCGGTATTTCAGTGTATCTGTCTTCAATGTTAGTGGGTCCGACTGTATATTTTTGCATTACATAATATAATTAAGTATTTTAGTACCACAATTCCGGTCCGGATTCCGTACCAGATGTCCTTACTAGACTTACCCCCGTGAATATAATAAAATGGCGGACTTTTATTGTACTTTTTAGACGAGGTGGTACTGCTGCAAGAAATAAACAGTTACCCGTGAACAAATATTGTTATTGTTTCATGTAGTTGTTCATAGACACACACTTCTTCATTTACGCAGCATTATGATTAACTGGCAGCTAATTATGACTGATAAATCGGCATTTGTCCGGCAACAAACGATACGATTCCTTATATTCAAAACAGAGTTGTAATGGAGGTTCCTAATGGGGATTGATTATCGTTACGAATACGGAGTCGGTTTTTTTTTCTTTTCTAATTACAAGTAGATTTTATCGAGAATTATATCAAAATAATTATATTTCTTTCTATTAGTCTCAATACATATTTAGTGATGAATTAACGAGTGTTCGTTGTGAATCAAGTTGCCGCCATATTGTTTATATTCGAGACACCAAACGCAAACATCTTGCGGTAAATTCGAAAACAATATGTCACATAATGAAAAATGTTTACTCTGCACCTTTAAAGATATGTCTTTCCATCTGATGGGTGCTTATTTTAGCGACAATTGATTGTAATACGCGACTACCGTTTCCTATAACCAGCTAATCTCATAAGACAGGTAACACCAAGGTTTCTTGTCGTGTGTATACAACAACGGGGATGAGACGGCCTATTATGTTGTCGTGTGTACACAACAACGGGGATGAGACGACCTTTTAGTATGATGTCGTGTGTACACGACAACGTTACAGAAAGAGTTAAATGGGTTGTTGTAAGCCGTCTGATCCACCTTAGTAACTTAAAACCCCGTCTTAGTATCCTAGGATCTTTAGGTTAAACTAAGGACTCTGGCTTATCAAAACGTTTCCTTTCTCCCGTCATTTATAGACAAGTAATTTCTGCCGACATTTTGAATGTCATGTAAAAATAATTTTGATAAAACAATTTAATTCTCAGCAGTCTTAGTGGCTTCACGAAATCACTCTATCTGTTGGGAATTATAGAAGATATTTTTTTTTTAAAACATTGCTAATGAATCCATTTACTTATTCATATCAAAAAAGTTATGTTGCTTCTAAGTTTTTAATTTGAAGAAATATTTTCATCAAATTTTTCTAAAAATTGACTTGCCATTTATATTCTAGCGTCTTCTACGTGAAGGTGCTTTCATACGGTTAATTTAACATGTATATGATATATGTATAAAAAAAAACAAGTAACAACAACATGTAAAGATCACCAGTCTTTGATTTAATTTTAAAATGCATAGACATGTTTATCATATGGTGTGTGTCAAGTGTTTAAATGTCTACGCCAGAGATAAAAGAAAGTTAAATACCTTCACACACAGAAATGTGTAACTTTTTAGAGAAATGCTTATATATTTCTAAATACAGTCAGTGTACATTTGTAATTACTTTTTCATGATTACTATCTTTACATAACACTTTAGTACTCTTATTAACGTAGTATGTTTTAAAATGTATAGGGTCGCACTAGGATTTCTGAGACAATTTTTTTGTTTGTCCATAATATCTGTCCTAAACACTCATTGCGACTCACTCCTATGAACTGTCCCAATAATGTTTTCAGGCTATTATAATTGTTCTTCGTTTTAAATTTTCAGGCGAGATGAAGAAATAAATATATTATTATTCATTTATTGCATAATATTGTTTTTTGACCTGACAAAACTTTTATCAAGTGGATAAAATTGCACCTTTTACATGAACACATCTGCACTTGAAAGAGTATATCAGATTAAATCACTAAACCTGTAAAGGAATGTAATGTAAAATAATATTTATCAACAACATAACCATTCATCAAGTGTCTACAGTATATTGTTTATATCAAAACCTTATGTGGCAGCCATTTTTTTTGTCTGTGAGAGCCATGACATATAGTTTTATTAAAATTACATACTTCAGACTTGGCGCAAACATTATAAAGACACCATATTGAACAACAGTCTGTGTAAAAAAGAAACAGAAATGGAGTTTGCATTAAAATCAATACTTAAACATCACTCAAGGAACGAATAAAAAATAAGTTTCATTATTTGGCATATGAATTATACATATTCATGAGTATTCATTGTTCACAAACATATATGATGATGCGTTTGTTAGTTTAACACTTTTTGAAGTGATACCATATTCTGAGAAAATAATATCATGCTATATGTAAAGTGTGCCTTGGCCCATATTGACAAAATTAATTGATCTAGCAGGCATGTTAACGTTTAGCCATATCCAAACCACAGTAAAAACTGCTAAATAAGGTTTTTATACAAATAATGTTTCAATTTAAACTATTATCAAGGGAAAATACATCAAAAATTCATCATCATTGGTCTTATAAATGCATGAAAAATCTTTAATTTATTTGCCTTGTTTACAGTAGCCTTTATCTATCACATACACACATACATAAATATGATAATTTATAGATGCAATTCATAGAGTTAAGACATAACGTTTTTAATTTATTGTGAATATAAACACTACTGTAATCATAAACAAGGATTATCAAACTCCTTCTTTCTATTTTGATCGTATAATTTTGAATCGAAAGCTAAAATTTACATTTAACTTACATGTACATAGAAACTCATATGGAGAAATATTTTCAAAATCTGTTGAGAATCTAGACTCTGAAGTTCAATTTGAGATCATTTTAACAGAACCATTTAACTTTGCCCTTACCAAAACTGAATGTATAGAAATTCTCAACAAGTGTATAGAGATGCATTATAAATGTGAAGAAATTGAAAAAAGATATATATAAACTAACAATAAATGTACAGATATTCACAATAGTATTCAAACCAGATGAAATATTTCTTTATAAAGGTTTACGCGCAAAGTATGCTGGAAAGGGCTTCAACATTGTTATGTCATTTTGAATTCGCACTTTTCTTTTCAAAGCTCAAATCCTACGGACACATTCTAGTGTGCTCTATAAAAAACAACCTTTTTGCCTTTATCTCATAAATAAGCACTGTTGTTGAATGCTGATTTATTCCGTAGTGATACACATATATATAGTGTTTAGCGACTAAAATCTTGGTAAGTGTGCCTCTTTGACAACAAAACACGTCTGATTTACAAATATTAGCTCATTAACCACAAATAAACAACACAAATATTGGAACCGTACCGTTCCCACCATTTCTTTTTTAATTCTGAACGAATTCGAGTCAAATGACAGTTTATTTTATATCAAAGGTAAAGAAATGAAATTAGATTCGAATCAATGGTTACTGTTACTTTAAAATTAAAAAGTTATATTATAACTCCGAGATCATATTTCCATACATAAATGATCCACACAAATAATATATATATATCGTGCGTCTTAAAGCTAAAAACTGTATAGTCTTGAAACATAAATGCAAATAGCAACTATCATAGCATGACTTACATGTATCACACATTATCTACTTCTAAAGCTTAAACTTATTTTGAAAAATGCAAACTGGTTGACTAGATGACAGCACGAAATGTAGACAAGATATATTTAGGTTGTTGGTGGTGTTTTTTTCAACGGTGATGATAATGACATTTTAGTTGAAATTGACTCAAAAACCATATCTTGTTAAAGGTCTAGGCGACAACCTGATGTCCCTTAACTTAACTTTACTTAGAAACAGACGTGTATTTGATAAACTTCATTACCTTAACTAACATTACTTTCACAGCAAAATAATATTTATACTTTATTGATAACCACATTGGTCGCCCATAATATCAATCAGCATGTTAACTAACAGGTGTGCTAATAGTCATATTCACAATAAACACTCTCTTCCATATTCCCTACAAATCTATGTTAAGTGTTCAAGTGTCTATAGTGATGTTCACATTGAAATCAAGCCAACGTATGAACATTACTAAATGAATTGAAATCCATTTCAATACTCCTATTTCCTTGCAAAACAACAAAGTTAAAATTCATTTTATCGTTTTTTTCTTTAAGGATTTGTGAAACAACTATATTGACGATCACAGTACCGTGCCATTCTCTATGGTTACTGTTCCGTCCAGGCAACCAACGTTAAAAAAGGAATAATTTGGAAATTTCCAATATGATTTAAAATTGACGTCACGTCATAATTGGGCTCTGATAACTCAAAAGATTTGTCGAAGTATTGTACCATGGACACGAACAAATGGTATTATCTAATTAACATTTTTTTCCCCCATTACCTTTTTATCAATCTGTGTTTTTGTTCTCATTGTCATTTAAGTGTTTATGTTACCAAGAAAACACATTTTGGCTCTGTCTACATACTACCTGTAAGACTAGAGGTAATCAAATCACCCATCTAGACAAGATAGATTTTCCGTTTTTCCCGAATGATCAACTTACAGTCAATACACTTCACTGCTCTCTCCCCACACTGGATACAAGCGACGAGGTGTCCACATGGGATGAAAACAAACCAAATCTTTTCCTTTTGACATATCTTGCATTTAAACTGTTCATTTAGACGTCCGTTTTCCTGTTGTAATATGTTGAAAGCTGTAAAAACAAAATTCTGTGCTCAATTTATTTCCAGAAAAAAAATCGACGTATCGATCAACACGAATATATTCATATGCTCATCAATACAGTAATAAAGCCCAAAAGTCTGGATATTTTACAACTGCTTACAANGGGGGGCGCTGAGAAACATACGTTAGTTCCCTTCGATACATTGTATACTTAATGCACTACGTATGAGCACGAAGACGGTATGCTTTGTTCAAATATTGTTATCGATTGAATACTATTGAAATGGTTAAGAGATCAACTGACTTGGATCAGTGGTGATTTTTTTGTCCCTGTCTCCGGAAAATGTTTCATCAGTCCTGCCTACAAAAAAAATCAAAAAACCTAATACTTTAATTGTAACGTTTATGTACACGATGAGAAACATAAATTTAAATTTTTAATTTAAAAATAAATATGCATAAATATTAGAATACAATGCATTATACATGTATATGAGCCACCAACTCCAAGTATCATCGTTAAAAATTGTAAATATGGAAATTTCAAACTTGGTTTTATCTTGGGCAGTGTTTACATAAAATACAACATTATAGCTAAATGAAGCTGGGAATAAGTTTTTTTGCGTAGCCAAAAGTTGTACAATATTAACATTAAAAAAGGTTTTGTTTGTAGTTATTCCTTCTCGCTGTATTTTACATGTATATGTTTCGAAACACTTCATATAAGTTTTTCTTCACAAATCAGATCTGTATTACCACCGATCAGCCGTTTAGACGTGCAATGGCCATATTGTTCCGTATAATGTTTACATTGTTTGGATTTACATTTCGACAAACATTCTTTACATACATGCTTCATTTCTTTCTATTTCTAGTAGACATTATACCGGATCATGCCATTTCTTTAAAACTAAAATATAAAATCTATATCATCATACCATTTACAACATCATTGGTCCCGACATCGTTTGTATCCATAAGTCGGGCTTTCTCCGCATCTTCAATGCTATTTAACTCACCTAAAACAACAATGGAATAATAAACTAAAAAAAACCAATGACATATTCAAAAACATACAAATATTTATCAAAGTAACAGGTCTTTCGAGTCAACGTTTCCTGTTTATAGTTACACATAAACAGTATTTTTTTTAATATATTTATACCTCTAACCTTTTTGGTCAAGTCGTGTTCTGATTTCCAAGTCCCTGTCAGAATTACGAACGATACATGTTTCTTTTTCTTTTGTTGGAGAAACCAGCATTGTCTCGTTGAAGTTCTCCTCTTCTTCGAAACTTGCCTGGGAATCTAAACAAAATCTTCGTTATGAGGAGACGGGAGGATTAATGTACATATGCATTTCAATTGTGAACAAATTTCATCATTAAAATATAAATTAATAATTCCCCCTGTCAGTGCGTCAGATTGGTGGGTGAATTATTGGTTTTTAACGTTCTCAGGCATGAAAACTTGCCTACCTGTTTAGTTGGATATTCTAAATATTTTTGCATCGAACCAATGCAAATGTTTTCCATTTCTGGTTGAATGGAGGAAATGCTTACGTTTCAGTGCAGAGAGAGAACGTTCATCGCCAATGACTCCCGAACTGTGATCAGAGCGAATAGCAGTGGCAGCCGATTGTTCATGGTTGTGGCGAATTACTCTAGGTAAGGACTCTTTCATATCCAGATTCGCTAAAAAATAGAAGGATGCACCTGCTATTAACATGAGGCATTTATTAGAATTATGATAGTATTAGATAAATATGTTCATACATGATTCGAAGATATGAATTTCTGCATTCAATAAAATATTGCTGAGAAGCCTTTTTTATTTATCCTTTCATCATCATTCATCATGCCCAACAATTTGTTTTTGTTGTGAAAAGTCATTATCATTTTTTTATTGGTGAATTTAAATCCGACGATTATAAAAAAAATCTTATCATCCACATTTTCACATTTCTATTGTGTTTAACTTTAAAATCAGTATTATTTATATTTCACCCACCTTTATAAAAATTGAATTTGTAAAACGTTCGCATATTCTGTCTTCTTTTTCTTATATTCTCGGACAACTTCCTCCTACTCAAAAACGTGTTTGCTTTCTTTTGCTTATTAACCTTTCTTCTGGTTTTCTTCACTAGAAAACAGGAAAGATAGGTATTCATCTGCAATTCGTTTGCAAAACTTAACTTTAAAATATCCACTGATGACATTGCTTAATTTCACCTCGATTTGCCATTTGTGACTATTATTGAAGAGACTGAGTAGAAATATGTATTTCGTTGGAGGATGTCCCTTCATTGAAGAGTGATGAAAATAGCAACAGAAAAAAGTATGTTTGTAATTTTCAATAATTTCTTGAAGTCATTGTACCAATTACGTCTTTTTATCCACAATCAGTTCATACAAACTCATGAAATTACGCGTGTAGATGAAATTAATTTACCTCTAGGAAAGTACTTGGTGACTGGTGGTTGTTTAATTCGCTTTTGACCCGTTTTAGCTTCTGCCTGACCAATATCCATTCTGCGTTTGGCAGTGGTTTGATTAAGCGATGAAACCTATACAAATTATATAGATAATCATGTTTCTAGCACCATATTTCGAGCTGGTCATTATGTCTCCAGTCATTTCAAGGAATATATATGTGATATGCAAAGATATTTTTTTCAAAATATAGGTTTATTTATCTATGGCAAGCCGACAAAATAGAACGCAAATAGAAAATTTCCGAATACAATTTGATAATATTTTAATAATATGTTATATGGAATATGAAACATTTATTGTTCCCAATGATGTCGTTGATAATCTCGGTTGTGCATTTAAAAAGGAAAGGACATGCATGCACATTTATATTGTTTTGTTTTGTATATGATAGCATACATGTGTATATAAGTGAAAAAATTATAAGACGAACTGTAAACAAAACTGAAATTCGAACTTGAAACGTAAGAGTAAAACACACTTCGAACAAAGGAGAGGTTTATTGAAAGTTTATTTAAAAGGTGCAAACATGAACCCCGGCGTTCCGGATGAGTAAGCATCTTTTGTTCCATAAATGAAACCTGTCACCTGTATGTCGAACCCTAGTTTGTCACGTTATCAATGAGAAAAAAACGAGTTAGTGGAAATAAAATTACAGGGCACATTAGTGACATCATTTAAAGAGTCGAATTCATATCTTACAAGGGAAAACAAGTTTTTCTCATTAAAATTATGATTGAAATCATAACAGGACGAATGCAAATGTGGACCTCTAACTAGCTATCACAGAGAATATTTTGTATGTAAAAGAACAAAACATCTTCGTGGGTCTATGTAACATATCTGAATATATACAAGCACAAAACTATTTCACGAGTCTATGTGTACCTTTTCTTGATTCTTTTCCGTCTTCCGATAGGGACAATCGGGATGAGAGTGGACATGGTTTGTCAAGGGGTCATCTGCAGGTTTCCAAATTCTTCGGAAAATATTACAATTGTAGCATCGCACCTCATCCTTATCTCCTGCGAGGTAAAACGGTACAATTTTAACGTATTGCAATTTGTGAAAAAAGCAAGAATTTACCTGGAGAATAAAGCCTGCATACGTGTTGATAAAATGGTACTCAGTTGTAGACACTTCAAAGTATATATGTATAGAATATTCTTGGTTCTTGATAAAAAAGACATGTATGTTTCAAATGTAAGTTGGATATTTCAACATTAAGAAAAGTATTGAACACATGAATGAAATATATTGGTACTTAATAAAGAACATTCTAGAATAATAGGTTTTTTTACGGTTACAACTATAAGAAGAAAAAAAAATCCACTTTTGTCACTTTTATAAATGACAATGACAAGTGTTTTTTGTTAATCTCATTTCCTCTGATAACTCAGTGTAAATATAACAAAACAACTTATTTGTCACGGTAGAAATTTATCAAATGTAATTCCAATGCCATCATTAAATATTATATCACTGTTTATGTTTGTTAGTCTATTTTTGTTTCGTTTTTTATCAACACAGTATGGGTAAAATCTTAGTTACAAATCACTCACTGTTAAGATAATTATTAATTTGGGTTCGGGGGCAGCAATGTAATAAATACATACCAGTAGCGTAAAACCCAGATGCACTCAAAGTGTCTATGTTCTTGTCATGGGTAAATATCATGTAAAGAAAGCTGTCATTTCGTGCTTGATACTTGCTGAATGTGTCAATGCAAGTTTGACTCCCATCCTGCATCGATTCTAAAAAAAAAAAAAAATAACATATGAAAAAAAGCTGGATATTTCCATGAACTATTTTTACGCCTTTTCTCCGATATGAAGTAAACACAAAACAATTCAGCGAATTTATAGTAAATGTCAGAACTTTTGTTAATTTTCCGATCATTGTCGTCTTGACAGGAAATGTCAAAACCTTTTTGAATCATAATTCTAGCCAATTTGCTTATTATTAATCGTAAGAGAAGGTTAAGTAATATTTTTCTGATTTAAATAAAATGAGAAAATGATGACTCATTTCAAGAGGAACGTTTGAAAATTAACATGTTGTGACGTAAGTGTATTGATTGTAACCATGTGAAATCATTAACGAATTGGTATTGACAAAACAAGTGATACTATTTGAAAAAGGGTAAAGCAAGAGCTACTGTACTGATCATTTAAACTTGTACATTGCAATGTATTTGCATAACTGAAAGCTTACCTGATTTCTGTATCACCGCTGGGAACCTTCTTTTCCAAATGATAGAGACTTCTTGCCCTGGCATAAACTTCTTGATAAGTATATAATAAGACTGTATAACTGTGGTATATCGTGGATCTGTTTCGATAAAATGACCACAAAAACACACCAGCGCTGTCAACACGCACCCGTGAAAATCCCTAAAAATCTTGAAAAGATCTCTCAGATCTTGAGCATTTTTAATGCAAACTTCTGTACAGAATATTTGTTTCGTTAATGTCGTTTTCAAACGTGCTAATGTTGGTTTTTGGGTTGAATCCATTCTGGTTTCTAACTCATTCAATAGTTGTATTATCAAAGTCGTTGCTGAAAAAAAAAAAAAAAAAAAAATGAAAATTTATTATTTCTTATAATAGGAATTGACTATATTCATAAGTAAACATGTTAAGATACCATACAAGTTATCTGCGTCTTATTTTTATACTCACTTCTATTCCTCTCTCTCAGCAGCACTGAAAGCTTTACTTTCCGATCACAACCAAACGACTATGGATATAATAATGAAATGCAAAGTCACTGGAATCAAACAAAAAAACCATCCTAATCGTTAAGAAAGAAATATTCCTTATAAGTGTTAATTTTGTTTTAAACGGGAGCACACGTATATCGACCGCTTACCTACTGCTTTGTCATTTTTCAAAGATAGGCACTGATTATCTTCCAAAGGGATTCGACTGTCTGCCATGTTGTACAAACTTTGTAAAGATGAAATATTCTCTGAAATTCAGATATCATAAAGGAACATATTTAAAAACATACTTCAGTGAAGTCGATGTTTAACATAATTGTTATTAAAATATTAACGTGTTTTAGATATAGACATTACATCTAGGCCAACTATATATATACATATATATATTATGACCAGGTGGTAAGAGAGTTGGTGCTGTCAGCAATCAGCAATGAGATTGAACCCTAATTGAGTATCAATACAATTGCGTATGATATATTTATTTGGTGATTTCAGTTTATCAATAGAACTCTGAGCTGAAAGTTAGATTTGCAATTGTTTCGATTTCTCCCCGGAACAAATTTCGCGCATGGATAAATACAGTGAACACTGTAACTCCGACCTTGCCCTCCACGAGGGAGTTATTTTTGGAAGTTAATTAGCAAAGAGAAAAGTTAGAATTTGTGAAGAATCCAGACGTGAATTTATTTGTTGATTATATGGGAATCTGACTACAGTCGGTAGATTCTATAACATACTCGTTATTTGACAAGTCGTCAGAAACTGAGGAAACCGTGGCTGCGAGACGCGTGAAACTGATAGCGTTTGAAGTGAGTGATCTTGCGACGGAGCACAGGCCAGGGGTTCATTACAAATGTCTGAAATGTTTATGTGTGTTGTGACTCATATCATTAGGTCTGTAACATATGTGTCAGTAGGTCTATAGAATATGTGTATTTCAGACATTTGTAACGAACCCCTGTTGATCAGTGCAGTGTAACAGACGATATTTCTGATAAATTGCATGAGTGTTGATTTTTTTCCCATTGCAGGCATTGGTGATTTCAACCGATGTGGATTTTGTAAGATATTGTAGACCTTGGTCTTGTTTTTGTTGTAATAAAAAGCATTTTTTTATATTTTCTTTTTTCTTTTGAATATAAATTTACAATTACATTGTCAAGTCTCCCAATGCCCAGCAATATTTCAAGAGCCGTCATGTTTATTTACATTGGATATTGTAGTTCCGGTCAGTGTTGTATTGATACGCTAAGAAGTGTGTCTCGTGCTGCATGATAATTAAAGTCCCATCAACGATACAGCTTTCAAAGAGGCTATAAAGTGACAATGCCATGCAAATGTAAACATATGACAATACATGTGTCTCACATATTTAAAATCTTTCTTAATGATCAAACTCATAGTGCAAGGCTCAGCTACAATTGCATTTTCACGCATGCACATTATAGGTAAAATTCTTAATAGTAACACGGAAATCCCCATACCTTTAAATAGATTGCTGTAAGCATTGTATATAGTTATTATAGTATACATAATATCTCCTTAATATGTACATATATACATAAGTGCGTCATATTTCATCAAATATCAAGACATAAACAATACCAAAGAAGAAGTATTCATGTTTGAAATACCGTCTATAGGTCAGAAATAGCGTCACAACGCACCGTGAGCTACATGCAGGAACGCCCAGCTGCCATCTTATATAGACTTGCACAGGTTCGAGTTTTCACTAGTATGGGAGAGTTCAGGGCCATGTAAATATTTTCAATCGAATTTCGACTTACTAACTCGTGATTTCAATAGAATAAACTCGACACCTCAATATACTGACTCGAAATGTAGAGATAATGACTAGAAATATAGACTTTATAACTCGAAATTTCAATTTAATAATTCGAAATATCGAGTTATTATCTCGACATTTCTACTTGGTAACTCGAAATTTCGAGACAAAAAAACTGTTTAAACTAATATCTGTTCATTCTCGATCTTTGAGTAAACCGACAAACGTATTTGGTCTTTAGTTCTATAGATTTTTTTTATTTAACTTCGAACTCCTTCTGTAAACCGGTTCTTTTTCCCGATCTTACTCTCTTTTTTAACCCGCATCACAACGCGTTCTATTCCAGACCAATCATTACTACTAGACAGGAAAGTTAACAGTTTACCAATCAATTTGAATTTCCCCAGATATCGTCATATATTATTTTTATAAACACTGTCCCGCTAATATCGATGTCGATAATTGAAATGATAAATAGATATCTCTCTGAATATCATCTGTTTCTTGTTAGTTTTTTTAGTGAAAGTAGCAAATAAACAGAACTAGAAAAGGACGTGATGTTGATGCACATAGAGTGTAGTAAATACTGTGCAGAGGTATTATATCTTACAACTTATATCAAGAGCTTGACAAAGAACACAATGTCAACTATGTATATACGTTTTTATTAAGAAACAGGTACCAAACGATTCAAAGCAGAAAGCTAAAGTTTCGAAGAACAGTATTTAAAGCAATTAGGTATCCCCTCTCTCCGTTTTTAGTCATTGCTTTACATCACAAAATGGAAAATGAGCACGTTATTCTTTAAAAATAAGATGAAGAAGAAACAACAGCAAGAAGTCATCCTTTATCACGATAACAAATATACTGACATTAAATCAATACATACTCGATGGAATGAACCTGACCAAGTACTTGTGATCTTTTGGAAATTTGTTGTCGGTTTATTAACCCTAAAGTTGTTATGTAGGAAGTAATGCGGATTGTTTTTTGTTTGAAGAAGGCAAAAAAAAAAAAGAAGAGATATCTGTCTGTTAATCGCGCTCTCTTGACCTGTACGTACCAAACACAAAAAATTTCATATAAAAGTATGGAATTACTTATAAATGTTGAACACAAAACCTTATGTATACCAGTGAAGTCGCTTAAGCACTGCGCTATGCGGTTGGTTGTTAAGTGTAAACAAAAACTGTATATTTCTTTCTTTTATAGTATCGTCGATTAATTCGATGTCTGGATAGCATACACAAATATCTCATTATATATATTTAGGCTCGTTATGATCTAATATGCAGTAACTTAACTACATCATCCAAGTACGTGCCTGTTGGACCTAGCTTGTGTTGACAAGATATCGAACTTTACATCCTTGGTCAGCGTTACTCCGTTAGAAAAGCGGAAAATTTAAGAAAGAACAGTATGAATACATATATTTCAATGGCAGATCGTTAAGTTAAGGACAGTGTCGTTTTATAAGAGTTTTACAATCTAAGTCCATTTTGTTTCGTTAGGATTAAAGTGTATTAAGCGCTACGGTTACCTTTACTGTCTTCGTCCATATATTAATGTGTAGGCGTGTATTGATGACAGGTTTAAAAAGTAACTGAAACAGCAATGTAATAATGATATTTTCGCATGTTATCAGTATACACGACAGAAAAAAATACATTTAAAAAAAGTTTTACAAAATGCGTTGTAACTTTGTACTTCAATATCTGAAAAGACAATGATAAATATGTTCAAAGATGATCTCAAAAAACTGTACATCAAATATTAAAAAGATTAGGGGGTGTTAGTGAAATTATCCGTGCCTTTACCAGCTGCAGGTGTCAGAGTGACTGGCGATGGTCAAAGGGATATAACTCGATATAAATCTTCATAAACAAAGATTAAAGTCCTACATTGAATAGCGGCATGCTTATACACATGTTAATTAAGATCTTTCAAAACATGTTTGATATTACAATTCCTGTCACTGGACTGCAATCAACTGTATGATTTCAATAAAATAGTTTCGAGCTCACCTTTCAATGACAGGCTGTAGGAAAACCGTTCCAGAACTAATTCAAGCTACAAGATTACGGTCTGATTCACCACTGATTATGCCGATATCAGTCAGGCAGAGCAACCACGTTTTCTCACCCCCCACACTAAAACAAATGATTGGACCAAATCTTAGTAGACTGGCCAATCAAATTGAAACACGCTTGTAATATAGTTGCATCATTATTAAATATGTCGAACGAATAAGGAATAAAGGGTAAAGTTAGTTCTGTATTCATTATTAAATAAAGAATTACAAATAAGGAACAACCTTTCCCTTGCTCTTAATATCACGATTCATAGATATCCCACAAATAAATTTCATTACCAAATTAACGCAATACTTTTTACAACATAATGTTTAATCAACTGAGCCAGGTAAACTAACTTTATTTATGTATCCACTTCTCAGCTGTGTTTCATTTATCTTTGTTCTATCTTTATGGTTTTGATTTGGCACATTTTCATTTTTTTCTTTACCTTAACTAAAGTTATGATAGGATGCATGCTACTTAAAAAAAGATCGAACGTCAGACAATGCTTTGATTGGCACTCCTCTCCTTATAGTCGGGGGAATACGTTTTGACAGTATGTACCAATACATTGTGAAGTGAAACCGAAACCACAATACCATAATGTACAATATGATAAGTATGAAAGGGAGTTAGGTAGTAAAGGAAGTAGTAAAATCTGTAGTTTTATCCATAAATGGTAACTTTGTGGCGAAGAATCAAACAACGCCATCACTGCGCCTTTCATCCTCTACAATTGAGTTTTTGTAATGGTCACTTTAATTTAATTGCAGTGTTGACTCAAAAAAGACCAAATACACGTTTTAACCTTAAAACGCACATCCTAGATACTCTCACTTTTGCTCTCTGCATCCCTGGAATATGTCAAAGCAAAATCGAAGGCTCACTGTGCGCCATCTTGTTGATGAGATGAGAAGCCTACTTGGATCCTTTGATATACATCAAAAGAATCTCGCGATCGCAAAACGGTATAATTTACTGACTTTGAAGTCGGGTGTCGTTCCTTTTTATACTTCAAATGACAGGTATTAAGTCTACGATTGGTCAGGCATTTTCATCTGAGACCAATCATATATAAGTGTAGCTAGCCGTGGGCCTTCAATTTTGTATGACATATTCCAGGGATGCAGAGAGCAAAAGTGAGAGTATCGAGGATGTGCGTTTTAAGGTTAAAACGTGTATTTGGTCTTTTTTGAGTCAACACTGCAATTAAATTAAAGTGACCATTACAAAAACTCAATTGTACCAAATTGTAAGAGGTTATTTAGTGCTAGTTACATGTTGTTTTTTTATAAGATCACAAAACCATTTGAATTTAAACAACAGGCTTAAAACTCTAAGCCAAAATGTATCCAAAGAAGAAATATTTATAGTAATGTTAAGGTTAGTCGCTTCAGCATTGCTCGATGTAGTTTGCTATAGGTATACTATACAATATTCATTCTCCATTCCAGTAAATGTTAAACAGTTCATCGTCTTGATTATATACATTTAAAAGACTCAACTCAAAATCGTTTGTGATAACCTAAACTACTTGATCTAAGTACATTTCCCAAATCTTCACTAAAAAAAAACGAGTTGTCCTTTGCTCAGTTGATCTTGAAGTTAAACAAACTCTTTTTTATTGGTTGAATATACTGACACCGTAACTCCTTCATACGTTAAATGTTATTTAATGCACATTTAAAAATGTGTAGAAAATGCAGTTATCGTACCTGCAAGGCTAACTGTTCTAGCATCAACAGCACTTGATGGTAACTAATACCATAGTATCCGATACAAATTACACAGTACACCCTTTATTTACTAGCAATGGTTGTCCCTTAAGCGTCTGAAAGATACATATAAGAACGGCATCCTCAAGCAGAATATTTTATCATTATTTCACATGCATATTTGCATCACAAGAGACTGCTAATGTTTTATCCCGACTGGCTAAGGCCACAACAAAACGTCTCAGCACATGACATTACAAAAAAGACATTGTGGACCAGATTCACATATTTAATACTAATAACTCATCGGTCCAAAATTGGTATCACGGTTTCTTGTGAGATCTCTCTGCTTTTGAACACCTGTTCATACCTACAAGTATGCAAGAAATAGGCCATACAACTGAAGATCAATTCTGTTACTTGTATTTTAGTAGAAAAAAAACAGCTGTATGAAACAGTGCAGCTCGTGTTTGGCATTCTGCCAATTTTACCAAATTTGAAAACAGCAGCCATCTGCGTGTGTTACGTTCAATTTTCAAAACAAAAGATGGTAGAATTTTCTCCTGGAGTTTTTAGTCCCCGAAGTTGAAATTCATAAATTTATGGGGATTAAGGCACCTGCCCCTGTATATCAACAGAACTTTAGAAACTTTTGAATCCCAACTGTCTCTCCCCAATTATAACCGATGAGTCCTGGAATGACGAAGCAGCTGTTTGATGTAGTGTTATTGACTTATCGTGTGTACTATACCCCATTATACAGACGCAATCACTTCTGTTACTTCCCTGTGATTATTTCACATTTCTTGGTGGTTGACGCATATAGTGAACTTTTAGTCCCTGCTGTTAGCCTTATCCGTGTAACTGGAATGGATACATGAAACATTATTTTAAGAGTGAACTGTATTTTTACATAGTTTTTCAAACACATGTACTTTCCTTCTATTGGCCCTTTGTTTCATTATGAGTCCGACAAATGTAAATGGACGGTAAAGTTTTATGTACAGTCAAATGTGTACATTGTCTGGAATCCTCATGATAAAACTAAATGTTATTGAAGGTGAATATTTCCTATTTTTATGGATTATTTCATGTCACTTCTTCATGTTACATTTGTACACGTATACGTGTTGCA